ATTTTCTCTCCAACACTCCCCTCCACGATCATTTTTTAAATCATGATCAAAATGGTTACCATAATAGAATGCATTTCATTCTATTGTCCTGAGGTTTCATGGCTAGAGAGTTTGGCACAGCACCTGGCATTCAGTAGGTGCTAAATAAATGGCAGGTGTCTTCCTGACTTTCTTTTCTCTGACCATAAGCAAACTCACTTTTTTGGCCAGTTTAAGATCTTCTCGGGCTCTAGGAATGATTTTTGTGAGTCCCCCACCCCGCCACAAATAGCAGTAAAAAGATCTCACATTATATATGGATTTAATTAAATTTTTAACATTTAAAATTGCTTTTGAAATGATTTCTTGATTTTGATGGCTTTTTCTCCTGCTAAACTTTGGAGCCAAAAAGCATTTCTTCAGATCTCAGACATGTCATGGACCTTACAAACTACTGGGCCCTGGGCCCTGTGTCTGCCATCCCCACTGGACAAGGAGGCCCTGTGGCCCCTTTTGTGAGGGAGGAAGGGGGCCAGCAGATGGCTCTGCCTGCCCAGGAACAGGGAGCAGAGCCGAGCTGTCAAAATTAAAACTAGAGGGCGCACTGTGTCCACCAGCCCTGTACTGGACAAGAGCCATCTAGAAGGAGACTGGATCTCTCTTCGCATTGTTCTGTTGCAGATGTCCTGTCCCTGCACCTGCACCTTACCTGCAGAGGACAGCAGCTGAGGGGACAGTGAGACAAGTAGGGGAAGGGTGCAGTCACTCCCCCAGGTCTCATCTCCCTCCTGTGGTCAAAGGGGGACTTGCAGGATCTCCCAGGGACCAAATTCAGAGTAACCGCTGCTTTGTATTGCTGAGTGCTTTTGGGTTATCTCATATTGTCTCCTTTCAGCCTTCATAATGACCTGAAGAGGTGAGTGGGGGGTGGGGGTGGCGTGCTGTGGTCCCCATTTTACAGACAAGGAAAACCAAGGTACAGAATAAGTTGCTCATGTTCATATAGCTACTGGGTGCTGGAGCTGCAATTCCAACCCAGGTCTGTGCCCTCACGTACTCATTGTACTGGATGCCAAATTTATTCATATTCTCAATAATTAGTGAGTAATAATGACAGCTTAGCATACCTTTTCTTAAAACTCAAGAAATATGTGACTACTTCTTATTTTAAAAGATCCCAGCAGTACAAACATATATAGCCTCTTAACTTTTAAAAATAAGTTTAGTTATTTATTGTAGAGAGGGGAAAGGAAGAAGAGAGGGAGAGAAACATCAGTGTGTGGTTGCCTCTCACACACCCCCTACCGGGGACCTGGCCCGCTACCCAGGTATGTGCCCTGAATGGGAATCCAACTGGTAACCCCTTGGCTTGCAGGCCAGCACTCAATCAACTGAGCCACACGAGCCAGGGCTAAAGCCTCAACTTTAATGAGATCCCCAGGTGTGGGGTCTGCACAGTAAAATTTAAGAAGCTCTAGTCTAAAAGGTGAAGTGTGAAAGGGCCCCATTCCCCACACCCTCCCAGGCTCACTCCTGCCCCAGGGGGAACTGCCAAAGACAGGGGTGTGGTGAGATTCTTTTCTATAAGCCCTTTCACCTTCACTGTTTTATTTGATGCTCAGGCCAGATAGCAAACACCCTCAGGCTCAGCAAGGCCGACTGCTTGCCCAGAGTCCTCTGGCAACTCGTGGAAGAGCCTGGATTAGAAATCAGATCACCTGCCTCCCTCTCCAAGGTTCTCGTGCCCACCCTCTTTTCCATGGCGTGGCAGTTAAAGCTTAATTCCTCACAGCCCGTGACGATTTCCACAGGCACCTGTGGCTCCTTTTCCTTTATGGGTAACATAAGTGTATTATAAAAGCCACCTTCTGGGGGCTCTGAGTCAACACTGTGTCTCAGCTTTGGAGTCAGAGAGAGGTCTGGGTTTGAGCCTCGGCTTCCTCATCTGGTAAATGGGCGAGAATCCCAGCTCAGAGAATGGCTGCAAGGGTGAAATGAGACAAGCCAAACCTCTCTGAGTGCTAATCCTCCTCCTCACAGCCTTGCTTATTCATTGAATATATACGAGTATATTCGGGCGTCTTCCACATCCTAGGCACTATGTTAGGTGCTGAGGACATAGAGATCAACATATAGGCTTCATGTTCTTGTGGAGTTGACACTGTAGACAGGGAAGATGGATGATAAACAAGCCAACTAGATGATTTTGCCTGTGCGAGTGTCCTGAAGAAAATAAAACTAAGGGACCCCTGGCTGGTGTAGCTCAGTGGATTGAGCACAGGCTGTGAACCAAAGAGTTGCTGGTTCAATTCCCAGTGAGGCCACATGCCTGGGTTTCAGGCCAGATCTCCAGTAGGGGGCGCGAGAGAGGCAACCACACATTGATGTTTCTCTTCCTCTCTTTCTCCCTCCTTTCCCCTCTTTCTAAAAATAAGTAAAAGAAAAATAAAATAAAACTGAGGGAGGCAATAAACAGTAACCAGATGGTTGGGGGAAATGACACCTGAGAAAGGGTATTCGTGGAAGGCTTCTCTAAGGAGGTGACCTTCGGCCTGAATGAGGAGGGGAAAGCAGCCATGTGATGACTTGGGGAGGACTGAGGAAGGCAGTGGAGGAACCACAGAGGCCTAATGAGAATGATGGGGGTGAGCTGGCTGAGCAGAGGGTGAGGCCTCCGTGAGCCACTTCCACAGTGAGGAGACTGGAGCTCAAGGAGGTGGAGCCCCCTGCCTGGACCTCTGGCTCTCTCTGCCATTCTTTCCAGTATCCTGGCCTCCCCTGGAGTCAGGCCTCCAGACATACACACAGGTCACAAGACGCGCGGGGAGCCTGGGAGGAGTTTCAGCTCCACACACTGACTAGACTGGAGTTTACAGGAAAAAGGAACACTGACACTTGAGCCTCTGTCAGTGGACGAGGAGTTTCTGAAGTGGAGAAATGTTTGTTGAATATTTAGAGGGATGACGTCTAAGGGCAGAACTGCTCAATGTTTGTGGTTAGTTGGGAAAGAGCCAGCTTGAGGCAGGGGCATGGCCCCTGCCACAGTCTCCAGAGAGGAGGGCTCACTGTAGTCCACCTGGCCAGCCTGCTCTCAGGCTCAGGAGTGGCAGTGACCTACTCAGAGTCTCAGTGCAGGGGCTTGGGAAAGCTGTCAACCCTGTTCAATTACTAGTGGAAATGGGGCAGTCGGCTTCTTTCCTTGGGTTTAGGGTCTTGTCCCATAGGAGTAAAATAAATATATTAGTGATCACAATTTGTGTGAAAATTTTAAATTCTTCTCATTATAAGCAAGGGCTCTCAGTTTGGGTAAAAAATAAAAATGCAGGCATACACTGTTTACAAGACAATCTTTCTAAGCCCTGTCTGGGTAGCTCAGTTGGCTAGAGCATCGACCCAATATACCCAGGGTGAGGGTTCAATCCCTGGTGTGGGCACATAGAGGAATCAACCACGAATGCATAAATGAAACAATGAATTGATCTTTCTCTGTCTCTCTCCCTCTTCCCCCCTCTCTCTGTCTCCCTCTAAAGTCAATTTTTAAAAAGCCATATCTAAAATAAAAAGTTACTGGTCTTCTCCCCTTAGTAATTCCTTCCTGGGAGAGGATGGGCAGCCATGGAACCCCCCACCATTTCCCATGGGATCTTGGGCATGTTGACCTTTGACTTTAGTTTTCTTATCTGCAAAGTGGGGGTGATGATCCATGACACCTCCAGGGCTGTGGTGAGGATGACTACATAATGACCTTGGGAGGGGTCAGGATCTGCTTGGCCAGTCATTTGCAGCTTAATGTGAACAAATTTCTGCTTCTTTCTTGAGACCGGTTTTAGATCCAAAGATCTGGGCGAAAGCTCAGAAGCATCTGGGGGGAAGAGTCAAGAAGTGAGGAGCCAGGGCCAGGCTTTGCCTTCTGGCCTGTCCTGGAGCCACACCGAATGTCTGGGGGCTTGGGTGGTGCCCTGGTCACCCAACCCTGAAAACAGCAGAAGCCCAGACCCAGGCCTGGTTTCCTGAGGTTGGGCTGGCGTTGACTGCAGACTGTGAGTGACACAGGAAGTGGAGACGGAAGTGAGAGCATCGGTGGAGGGTGGGGAAATCCCAGGCCTCTCCCTTGTTGTAGCCGGAGACACAGGATTCAGGGCAGAGGCCGCTCAACCCTCTTCAGTTCACATCAGCGAAACGATGCACATCGGTGCTGGGTGCAGGTGATGAATCCACTCCACCTGGCCTGTTTCTTTGGGTCCCCCTCTCTATTACTCCAAGAGATTTTTGGCATTTCAGCCTCACTGGGTTGGGAGCTGAGGCCAGGTTTCGGTTGACACTTTAGCTACCAGGATGGCTGCCAGCTGCTTGAGCCGTCACCACCCTGCATCTGGAACCACCACGTACGCCCCCAGGAGAGCCTTGCAGAAGAGAGTCAGCCCAACCGGAACTTACGTGCCACCTTTTCTGGTCCAGCATTTTCAAACTCTACTTCCACACCAAACTCTATTCTCCAGGCTTTTGATGGTTTTACTTAGCACGACCTTCCATTTGGTGTAGAAGCCTTCTCCCAGGGCAGACTTTTTGTATTTCCCTTGAGCAGGATGAGATATGGCTCTCAGTACGAACTCCGAGAGGCGAGGCGACTTGCCCAGGGCCGCACAGCTGGCACGTTGCTCCACGTTGCTCTAGGGCCTGAGGGCTTAACCCTGACCCTCTCCCTCCTCTGCTTTAAGACAAGCACTTCTCTTAGAATTTCCCCAGGCTTCTTGAGGGTCACGCTTCAACCCAGTCCCTCATGCTGACACTATGGTGGGGAGATGGAGAGGACCTTGTCAAAGGCCCCAGGTAGGGACAGAGACAGCTAAGCCTGTGCTCTGCTCCACTCAGTGCCTCCCTGGGCAAATACCGTGGCCCATTTCCTCTGGACCCTCCACCTGTGCAACCTCCCCTGCTCCAGCCCAGTGTCCCCCCAGACTGCCTCCCTGTCCGGGCTCAGGGAGGGCCCAGCATTGAGGAGGGTCTTCTTTCCCCTGCAGGGAAGTTCTGGCACATCTCTGACCTGCACCTCGACCCCGATTACAAAGTATCTGAAGACCCCTTCCAGGTATGCCCATCAGCCGGCTCCCAGGCGGTGCCCAACTCAGGCCCCTGGGGTGACTACCTCTGTGATTCTCCCTGGGTCCTTATCAACTCCTCCATCTACGCCATGAAGGAGATCGAGCCAGAGCCAGACTTCATCCTCTGGACAGGGTGAGAGCCGTCATGACAGCTACGCTTCACCGGGTTTCTGCTGTGTGCCGCCTGTCGCCTGGCACCTTCCCGCACTGTCTCCCTTAGTCCTCGCTTGAAGCTCAAAGGGACCCTGGGTGTGGCTGATCCAGAGTTTGTGCCCTCAACCTCCTGGTCTCCTGGCCTCAGCGGAATGCAGGAGGACTCCCAAATTTTAAGTTGTAGGGTGAATATTGCAGCTACTCCCTCTAGGGTTTAAGCACCACAAGCCCTAGGGATCCAAATGCAGGGGTGGGAGAGGGTAGGAGGGCTGAGGTGGTCTGGCGTTGGGACCACGTGTCCTGGTCAGCTGCTGGCCAGCACTGGGCTGCCCTGGCCGAGGGTGCTCCCTCTGGTCAGAGCACTGCTCTGTGTGAAGAGAACTTGAGGGGTGATTCCCAATCAGCCACAGAGATGCTATTTCTGCTTCTCATCTGTGGAAGTGAGTCCTCCTGTTACAGAACAGACCTTGCGCGGGGGCGGTGGGGGGGCACAGTCAGGGAACGATATACTATTACCAAATGGACCCCCCTTTTTCTTCGGGGGTTCCACCCCTGTACTAGGTTCGCTTTGCCCGCCGCCAGAGGAAAGACGTCTCTCAATGCTAGAGAATGATGAAAAAGAAAGGAATTATTTATTTAAAAGTTATGCAGACTTAGAGTAAGGACTTAATGTCTTCATTAAAGTGCTGAAGTTCTTTAGACTACCCACAGATGCACACAGTCCTTCCTTCTTCCCTTTGCCCTGTCCTGGGTACCGTATCTCAGGAAGAAGAAGTAGAAGTCTGTGGTTCAGGCAGCCCCTCGGTCCAGCACCATCTGCTGTGTGGCCTCCATGATCTCCGCGTGGTCCCAACCTCTTCCCCAGCCGTGCGGTCAATTCTTTCCTGCCACAGCCACATGGTCCCAACTCCTCCAAAGCCTTGTAGTCCTGTCCAGGTGTAGCTGCCGCGCCTGGGTTTAAATCTCAGCACCAGTCCTCCTCTGAAGCCCCATTTCTGACTCCTCCCACACTCCTCACACCTGCCAGCACTCCCCTATCCTTCAAGTTTTACTGGGCTGCCGCAGTAAGTCCAGGCAGGCATGGCCCCATGGCGTGGAGCCAATCTCTCCAGGCTCTCACACGGGTGCTGTAACCGAGGGGAGTTACATTCCAGTTACATCCTGGGTTGAAGTCACTCCCATTCCTCTGATTCAAAGCACAGCCACAGCTATTTAACATATCTGTGAAACCAGTTAAAGGTTATAGATATGTTAAATGACCATGCCAGAGGTTAGCTGCAAAACTGTTGCTGTACAAAACAGCTCTCAATGGCCCTGCTCCATGTGTTCCATCCCCCAGCTCAGTCTGGTGGGGGTGAGGACATCATATATATATTTTTCTAATATTTCCTGAACACCCTGAGTTCTGGACCTCATTACAAATCCCCATTTTACGCGCCCCCCCAGCCTTGGCTGCACCGTTACACTCCGACTTCGCTCAGCACTCGCTGTCCTCATCTCTCGGCTCTTTCCCTCCTTCCCTTGGCCAGCCTGGGGTAGACAATGGGAACTGTGACAGTGTAGATCCCAAGTCGCCTTCAAGGAGCTCACAGCCTGTGGGTGACACAGACAAGCCCACTGACTAGTATATCCCAGAGATGAGAGCAGCTCCCTGGGGGAGGTGGGGACTTCAGAGGGCATGTGACTTCACCTGGGAGGACTGGGAAGGATTTCCTGCAAGAAGTGGGAACCCATGAGATGGTGAGGAAGGCTGGCAGGCGCTCTGCCTTCTTACTCCCTCTTCCAGCCTCAGTGGACACCTCAAAAGGCAGGATCCAACTGTGGTGCACCCTCAGTGTGACACGGGAGTAACTAGGAATGACTTCAGATGGACCCAGTGGGGAGGGGCAAAGCTGGACACTTAAGAAATGTGATAGCGTCTCAGGCCTCTCTGGGCTCAGACATCAACCTTTGACCTTTGGGCCATGAGTATGACCTTTGGGCCATGACCCCAGACTCCTGCTCCTGGGAGGGCTCTGCATGGGGGAGCCTCCGAATTCTCTGATAAGGGGCCTTAGGAGAGAGCTGTGACATTCTGAAAGGTGTGATCTTTCACAGAAGTGTGATTCTTCCGGGAAATCTCTGGGACCTTGCAGAGATGTATGGCATTGGATGAGATGACCTCTGGGACTTTAAATAATTCTTTAATCTACGAAATTTGACTTCCTAGGGAGAACCGTAACCTTTTGGGGGAACAGTATGTAGAGACTGGATGCATTTTCTATCAGACAGAATTAGATCCTCCAAACTAGAAAAAAAAGGAATTTTGTTCCAATGTCTGAACTTCTGGCTTGTCCCCAGGGAGGACTGGGCTACAAGGCTCCTCTGACTGCCCAGTGAGGGTTTCAGAGTCGCAGTGGATGGAATGGGTGTGAGCTCAGACTCTGAAGATGCCTGGGTTCAAACCCTCACTCCACCACTTTCTAGTAGCATACACTTAAGCAGAATTCCTCACCTTTCTGTACCTTGGTTTCTTATTCTACCAAACGGGAACAATAATCGAACCTGTGTTGTAGGCATATTATGAAGAACAAATTAGTGGCTATGGGTACACTGCACAGAAAGTAGCTGTCACAAAGTAGGCCAGGGTGAGCTGCTGGCAGCCGTCAGTGCTATTAAGTTAATTACCTTCCCCCCGGAGAGTGGGCGGGGCTGCCTTGCTCTGCGGGCCCAGCAATCCCCAAGGCTTTAGCTTGTTGATGCTCCTACTCCAAAGTCCACCTTCCCCCATCCTCCCACCTCACTGTGCATTTCTAAGGTGGATGGTCCTGAGTCGGGTCTAGATTCTGCCATAGAGTAGATCTGAACGCTGTGCTCTGACGCCAGCTCCAGACTTCTTCAAAACCTTGGAGAGAGGAGAACTCAGGTAGGTTCTCCGCGAGGAGTGCCCTGCGGGCTTGCAGATGGACTGGAACCCTAGAGCTTCCCTCTAAATAATAATATGAGTTACATCCTAGCAGCTGCTAGTCTACATTTCATATATAGATAATTTTCCCCTTTATTGAAGTCCACACATTCTCTGTAAGTAGGTACCATTATTACCCCTGTTTCACACATGAGCTAATGAGGGCTCAGAGAGGTTAAACAACCAGCCCAGGGACCCACAGCAGGTCAGTGGCACAGCCCCGGTTTGAACTCTGTCCTGTGTGACACCCAACTTGAGCCTGGCCATACATTTCAGCGGATGTCTGAGGCCCAGTTCCACGGCCTCTTTTCTCATAGCAGAACGTGCACCCCACCCACCCTCTTGCTTTTCTCATCCCCCATCCTGAGCTGCCAGCACCAAACTGGCCTGGTGGTGTTTTGTAGTGACGACACGCCTCACGTCCCCAATGAGAGGCTGGGAGAGGAGGCCGTGCTGGACATTGTGGAGCACCTGACCAAGCTCATCAGAGAGGTCTTTCCAGGTAAGACCCTGCCATCGGTCCCCCATCACATCTCCTGAACCCCAGTTGGCGCCTGGCACCAGGAGACAATAGCAGCAAGATGCAGAGGAATGGCCTTTGTTCGTTGACGGCGATGGCTGTGGTAAAGGTCCCATGCTAGGCACTTCCCAGCTATTGTTTCTCACCTTCCAACAACCCTGCAGGAACATGAGAGCTCATTGGCTACACACAGAAAATGGCCGGCATTTCATTGCTTCCGGCCCTGCCTGTCTAACACCAGACTCACTGCCCCTTCTCAATGCACCCACAGTTATACTTGGGCTTAAGCCCTGGGTAAGTCTCACATGGGCTCATGCGTAGCCCTGTGTCCTGCTGTGTCCCTGGAGTTGCCAGCCACAGTCCTCAAACCATCCTAGCTGCTAGGACTTCTGGGAGATGCTGATTTCTAGCCAAGGTGCTATTTCTTGGTGCTTCCCAGACCTTCCTTCAGAACTTAGGAGCCCTAGGGGACTGTGAGTGATTACAGCTGCAGCCCTAGCAGGTATGACAGGGAGAATGGGCTCTACGTGGATTCTGGCACCTGCCCAGAGGGTGGCTGTGAGGATTAAATAAGGAAATCCAATCACTCATTTAGTCAATCAGCAAATATTTATTTAGCATCTACTATGGGAGGCCCAAGTCCAGGGGTAGGGGACTTGGTGGTGAACAGGATGACATGTCATGATCTCATGGAGCTCATAAGGAGCTCCTAACATTGTCTGGCACACAGGAGCAGCAAAATGTGGGAGAGATTTTTGCCCTTCTCATCTGCCCTTGAGATTCCAGAAATTTGTGGAGTTTTTTTTTAATGGATCTTTCATCGCTGCTGGCATTTACTTTAGAGAGCTCAGGTTCTCCCTGGCAGCGGCCCTGATGGCTCCTGCTGTGTGAACAGCTCCTGTGGGAATTCCACAACCTGCTCCTTTGGCAGAGCTCTCGGCATTTCCAGACCTTGCAGGCTCTACAAGACAAAGGGTTTGTTGGAGACATTGCCCCAAGTGGGAACTGGAGGCTCCAGCCTTCCTTCTTCATTGGTTCAAGGTCACTCCCTGGGGTGAGCCAGGCTCATAAGGGCAAGTCCCTTCCTGAGGTCAGAGGAATTTTTTGTTTGTCCTCAAGTATTTATTGAGCAACTAGTACCTGCCAGGCACAGTGATAAAGTAAAATCAGGAATGAAGCTACTGACAAGGGGGAAATGAGTCTGAGGGGCTCCCCTTCCTTCTCCCTGTGGGGCCAATTCATAGGCCACTTCCTCAGGGAGGCCTCCCCTGACTCCGCCCCCATCCCTGATACGCACCTCCACAGCACGTGGCTTTTCCCAACAGCCCACACACCTCTCATTACTCAATACCCATCAACCCTACGGCACTGCAAGGCCTCCGGGACTGGGACTGGGTGCCTGCTTCCAGGTCTGCATCTTGGCACAAACTAGGTGCTCAGTAAATACTCTCAATTCCTGAGTGAGTGAAACTCCTAAGGCCTCACGGAGTGAACCAGACCTTTCCCCTAAGAGTAAGGTGGCTCTGCACTTGGCGAGAACAAGGGACACTAAATCACTAAGGGGCTGATAAGGGGTCTGAAGATTATTTAGATCTTCTAGCTTTCTCCTTCTCATCAGCCGATGCTTCCTCTCTGACTGGGAAAGTCTGCTGGGAATGGGGTTGGGGTCCAAGATCAGAGAACTCAGTGCTCTTCCTTCCCAGGTCTGGCCAAGTTCAGCCAGATTCTATTAAATGAGGTTTTCAGCTTATCTCTGTATTTTCTTCATCTGTGGCTTTTCCTTCTTTGCTCTTCCCCATTAGCTCTGATGACATTGCCAACTGAGAATGACTAACGACTCCACCAAGCGCTTTCATGCGCTTTTATATTTTTATGTTTCTCCTTTCCCTCCCAGATACTAAAGTATATGCTGCTTTGGGAAATCATGACTTTCACCCCAAAAACCAGTTGCCAGCAGGAAGCAACAATATCTACAATCGGGTAGCAGAACTGTGGAGACCCTGGCTCAGTAATGAATCCATCGCTCTCTTTAAAGAAGGTACTAATACATTTGCTACTACACACACTTATTACCTGCCGAGGTCTGATCTAATCCATCTGCACAACACCTCCATTTTATAGATGAGGAGACTGAGGCTTAAAGGTACCGAGTCACTTGGCCAAGGTCACCCAACCAAGAAGAGGCGGACTTGGGAGCAGAATCCAGGGCTGACTCCCATGCTCTTAACCCCTCGGCACTAATGAGGATCAGAAGTGAATATTTATTGAGCATTTACTGTGTTTCAGGCACTACCCTCAGTGAATTACTAGACTTCTAGCAAAAAACCTAGGAAAGGGCAGTTCAAGTTCAATTCAGTCCAAGCAGGGTTTCTCGACCTTGTCACTGCTGGCCTTCGGGCTGGTGAGTCTGTGGGAGCTACGCTGTGCACTGTGGGATGGATAGCGGCACCCCTGGCCTCTTCTCACAAGATGCCAGTAACACCCACAGTGGCAATAACCAAAGAATGTCTCTAGACATTGCTAAATGTTCTCTGGGGGACAAAATCACCTGGTTGGGGACAACTGACCCAAAGACACTGCCGGCCCGAGGTAACCCTGACCTACTCTCTTCCCTTTCCTCAGTCCCCTGCTGCCAGGGCTCCTCATTGGTCACACTAAACCAGAAGCCTGCGGCACAGAAGCCTGCTGATCTGGTTCACACAGATCAGCTCCTGGGGCACAGAGCTGAGTGGGGAAGGGTTGATGGTGCATCGGGAGGGGCAAACACACCTCAGTGTCATCACCATTATACAGATGAGGAAACTGAGACACAGAGAAGCAACTTTCCTAAGTTGCACAGCTAATAAGTGGTAGAGCCAGGACTTAAACCTGGGCAGCCTGCCTCCAGAGCCTTTGGCCTTAACCCCTGATGCTCTTTTAATGGGGAAGCTGGGAAGGGAGGATCAAGAAAGGGATGAGGTGGAGAGTGAAGGAAAGCGGGCAGAGTGTGTCAGAGGCAGGGGCCCCTTCACATTTTCCCTGGCTGTGATGTCCTAGGCGCGTTCTATACTGAGACGTTGCCAGGGCCAAGGCGGACTGGGCGAATTGTGGTCCTCAACACCAATCTGTACTACAGCAGCAATGAGCAGACGGCCAGCATGGCCGACCCTGGCCAGCAGTTCCAGTGGCTGGAAGATGTGCTGAGCAACGCGTCCAGAGCTGGGGAAATGGTAAGGGCTCCTACCTCTTCCTCTCCTGCTCCAGAATCACTTCCTGAGCGAGTTTCCCACCTCGGCACAAATTCACCCACTCTCTCCAGATGTGCACATAACAGAGGGTCTTCATCAGCCGGGCACCAGGAAGGGCTTCTCCCACCCTCAGAACAGCCTGTGAGGCTGGGACTCCAAAGCCCATTGCAGATGTGAGGCTCCTGAGGGGCAGTGATGATCCCAAGTCACACAACAAGTGGTGGAGCTGAGACCAGAAGCCCAGTCTCCAGACTGCAAGTCCAGTGCCCTTTCTTTTCTTTTTAAAAAGATTTTATTATTTATTTTTACAGAGGGGAAGGGAGAGAGGAAAACATCAGTGCGTGGCTGCCTCTTGAGCACCCCCTACTGGGGACCTGGCCCCTAACCTAGGCATGTGCCCTGACCGGGAATCGAACTAGCAAACCTTTTGTTTCCCAGGCCGGCACTCAATCCACTGAGCCACACCAGCCAAGGCCAGTGCCCTTTCCATTACTGCCAAACTTCACGCCCGCAGCCTCGCTGAGGGCTAGACCTCAAGGGGATGCCCTGCCCTTGAGGTGTGTCCACCGAGTCTGTGGGGCTGGCAGCTCCCTGAGAACCGGCCCTGTGTCTCCTCTGCTTGAGTCCCTGCACTAAACAACAGCACTTTTCAGCAGGATCTCGTGGCTGGTGCTTCTCTGCGCACTCACTGTGGATTATCTCATTTAATTCTCCAAGCTCTACCAGTTAGTTGCTATTCCTGGTGAAAAAACTGAAGCTCACAGAGGTAACACAATGCTGGTGTCCAAGCTGTAGTGTGACTCCAAGTTCACACTCCTCGCTGTCCTCTCCCTCACTCTGCCTCTCGCAGGGGTGGCCAAGGGCCCAGGTAATGTTAGCTGAGTGACTCAAGGAATGTAAGACACGGTCACACATTAACACACAGCATGTGCTACACAGTCATTCAAGGCAAGTCCAGTCACAGCGTCCGAGTTCTCCGAGAGGCCGGTCTGTGAGGATCGGCAAGGTTTCACAGGGAGGTGCCCTTTGAGCTGGGCCGTGAAGTCTCACTAGGACTTGCAGAAGAAGTGAAATGAGAAGTGTGCTCCAGGCGGTGAACACAGCATGGGCAAAGGCACAGAGGGCGGGGAGCACGTGTACACTTGTTACCGGGTACGGGGAGTACTGGAGCCTGCCCGGGAGGACAGCACGGGACTTCAGGAGAAGGGACATATGAGCCTGTCTGTGCGCCTTTGGGGAGGCGGGCACGTTCTGAGAGGTGGAAATGAAGGGCCGGGGAGGCCATCTCTGAGCCACTCCTGGCCCCCTTCCTCACAGGTGTACATTACTGGCCACGTGCCCCCCGGGTTCTTTGAGAAGACACGGAACAAGGCGTGGTTCCGGGAGGTCTTCAATGAGAAGTACCTGAAGGTGATCCAGAAGCACCATCGGGTCATCGCGGGGCAGTTCTTCGGGCATCACCACACCGACACCTTTCGGATGTTCTACGACGATGCAGGTACTCACCCTGGAGGGCGCCTGCTGGCAGCTGGCCCCCTCCTTTGGTCAGCCTGCCTCAGCCTGCTGTCTCTTCTGGAAGGTGCCCCCATCAGTGCCATGTTCCTGACACCTGGAGTCACCCCGTGGAAAACCACATTACCTGGAGTAGTCAACGGGGCCAACAACCCAGGCATCCGGGTGTTCGAATACGACCGAGCCACACTGAGCCTGCAGGTCAGAAGCCCTGGGTCTGCTGGGGCTGGAGGAGGAGGGAGGAGCGGGAACCTAACGCATCACCACATTTCCTCTTTCCCAGCTAATCCATACTCTAATGGCCACTGACCCTTGGGAAGGGCAAGGTCTTTCCACCCTTACGGAGCTCAGGGTCAGACCCCTGGAGGTATCTCCAAATCCTGCCACCTAATCAGGTCCTGTCATCTTCCTCATACACCCTTTGCCCTGGAGCATTGTCACTGCCTCCTCCCCGATTTCTCTGCCTCCAGCTCTGCCCTGCGGGAGCCCCTCTGCCACATACTACAGAAAGGACTAATCTTTCCAAAGCACCTCTCTCTCTCTCTGCTCATAAACCTTCAATGGCTCCCCAGTGTCTCCAAGGTGAAATGCATCTCCCCAGCCTGGTAGTTGAACGTGCGCTCAGGCCCACGTCTGTCTTCTCTGCATTGATTATGCTGCAGCTGAAGCAGGTCCCTGGCTCACCAAGCACCCTCTCACTTCCTGAGATGTGCTTGTGACTGTCAAAATGACAAAGAAATATTATTCCTTAATTTATTCAACAAAATGTATTAGCTGTCAGCCACACGCCAGGCCCTGGGCCAAGCTTAGATACGTAAGTGAACAAAAACAGCCACTGCTCTCCTGGAGCTGACATGCTTACAGGAGACAGCCAGCAAACAAATGAGTAGAGTAAGGCACGATAAGAGCTACGGAGAAAAGAGAACAATGAAGAAGAGCATGTGTGTGTGCACACGCGCGTGCTCATGTGATGTCAGATAGGTGTGGCAAGGAAGTGTCACTGATAGGATGATATTTCAATTCTGAGTAAATTGATGGAGCGAGCTTCTGGGGAAAGTGGAGGAAGAGCCGGTCAAAGGCCCTGTGGTGGAAATGTGCCTGGTGTGTTAGGAGAAGAGCAAGATGCCAGTGTGGCCGCAGAGGAAGGCCAGGAGAGGGTGGGACAAGGTTAGATCTCGTAGGCTGTGAGTAGGACTCTGGATCTGGAAGGTTTGGGGTGGAAGAATTAAATAGGCCGACTTAAGAAATGTACAAAATCATCACGTCTGCTGTGCAGAGAACAGGCTGTAGGGGCCAAGGGCGGAAACAGGAGGGTGAGTTAGGAGATGACTACAATAACCACTGAGAGGTGACGGTGATGTGGCCAGGGCGGCAGCCGTTGGGTGGTGAGAAGTGCCAGGTCCTGAAAGTAGTTTGAAGGCAGAGCAGACGGGATTTGCGGGTGGGTTGGATGAGCCGTGTGAGAGAAGGCAAGATCGAGGAGGACCCCCAGGCTTTTGTCTGAAAACCTGGAAGGATGAAGTTGCCGTTCCTGAAACCAGATCACTGCGGGAGAAGCAGGTTTTGGAGGGGAGATCAGAAATCTGGTTTTGGACCTGTTAATTTTGGGACGTCTAAATGACGTCCGGGTGAAAGTGCCGAGGGAGGAGGAAGCTGGGTGCTCCAGCTGGAGCTCCAGGAAGAGGTGGGTACTGAGATTTAACCTGAGAGTTGAGAAAGGCCACTGAAAACCACCAACTGGATGCGATAATCTAGGTCCCCGATTTGGGGATAAATGGGGATGAGAAGAGGTCTGAGAATTTTTAAGAGTATGGCCTCTTGTCTCCATGGGCACTCAGAGGGCCTTAGTCAGAGGATCACTCCTTCCTCCCTGCTGCACCGGGCCCCACAACATGCCTCACATCCTTCTCAGGGAGGGAGTGAGACCTGAGGGAGTGAGACCTGAATTCTCCCTCCACCACTCACCAGCTTTTTGACCTCCTTGGGCCTCCTTTACTTCATCTCTCAAATGGAAAGCAGGAAGTTACCATCCATACGTGGCAGTTCTTCTTCTCCCCTCCCCCCTAGTGACCTGAAGCATATCTACAAATTGAAGTGAAAAGTGTTGGACAGATAAATCCTTGAAGATAGATTCTAGTCCTGAAGATGCACCTGAGTCCTAGGGATCTTGGGTGCATCCCAAGCCTCCAGTCAACCACAATTCTATAACCTCTCTCAGCCAGGCACTCCATCCTACTTTTTTACGTTGCTTTTTATCCATTCATTCTGTAAACATTTACTGAGCATCTTATGTACCAGGGAACTTGTGGGACAAAAAATGCACTGGCCGTGGGACAAAAAATGCACGGGCCATGGGACAAACCACCTGGTTTCACTCCTGCCTTGGCCACTGAACACCTGTAGGCCCCTGGCCAAAGGAGTCAACCTCTTTAGGACTCAGTTTCCTCATCCGTGAAATGGGGATAATAAGTGCAGTTACCTGAGCGTATTCAATCAGATGTCTGCCACACACACACACAGACCTGGTAAGTATTCAGTGCTCATTAACTAATAGTAGTCATTTTTACGGACATATAGAATCTGGGGGCAAGGAGGAGGTCCGGGATTGAGGGCGGATGCAGGCAGTTGTTCACAGCCAACCAGTCTTGTGCCCCGTCTCCAGGACATGGTGACTTACTTCGTGAACTTGAGCCAGGCTAATGCGCAGGGGTCGGCGCGCTGGGAACTGGAGTATCGGCTGAGTGAGGCCTACGGAGTGCCCAACGCAAGCGTCAGCTCCATGCACGCAGCGCTAGGCCGCATCGCCAGAGACCAGGGCACGCTGCAGCGCTACTATGTCTACAATTCAGTCAGCTACGACAAGTGGGTCTGCAGCGAGGCCTGCCGAGACGAGCACGTGTGTGCGATGCGCGAGGTGGCATTTGACGCGTACTCCGCCTGCCTGCGCGCCCCCGGGAATGTTCCGACGTGCTGGCTCCCGCTCCTGCTGGCGGTGCAGTTCGGTCTGTGTGCGTTGCTCGCGCGGTGACCTGGGCGCCGCCTGCTGGATCTCTGGGCTCGCCTTTCTCCGGTAAATGGGAGCCCATGACACTCACTGAGGTCTGGACTTTTCCAGTTTCCCCGACGTCCGCAGAGTGGAGGGTGGGATAGCCAGACCACGAAATGCAGCCCAAAGACCCTACCACAAGCACATTTCTTCCAAGTTTCACGTTTTATGTAAAAAAAACAAACAAAAAAAACAAAAAAACCCACAATTCATTATGCATCTTATTTTGTGTATTATCCTTTCACTATGCAAATAATGTCTAAAGCCATCCCTTGCCATTATCGAACGTCCCTCCGCAGGTAATGGGAGTAAAATGAGCCGCCAGGAAGCTGCATCTCGTTGATCCTGTGCCCTCGGTCTCCCTGGAACACGGCCCGAAACCGAGGCACATTTAGTTCACGACGTCCCGCCATCTGGGACCAGAAGAGGCCTTTCTGTTTTATTTCGCAACAATGCAATGCGACAGTTCCCAGTTCTAACCTGGGCGCTAATCTCCAGACCTTTTCACCCCTGTGGAGCTCCAGGAACCTCAAGCGCAAAATAAGGCAATTAGAAGCCTGCTAAACTAAGGACAGTGCACCTCGGAGGGCCCGCCTTCGGCTTCGGACCTAGCGGTCCTTGGGACTCAGAGGGACTGGGTGGGGCATCCTTGGGCAGGCTGCAGAGGCGGAGCCCCAGCGGCCTTCCGGAAGCCAGGAGGCGTGGGCGGGGTCCTAGCGCCTCGCTCCTCCCCGGACAGGGCGGGACGTGGAAGTCCCGCCTAGGAGGCGCGGGCCCTAGGGGCCCAGAGGGCTGTGACCACCTCCTTCTTGAGGTAGGACCCAGGCTGGGTGGGCAAATCCTAGCCCAGAAGGGAAGGAGGGGGAGAGGGCGGCGGGCCATGCCCTGGTCACTCCGCACCACTCTCTTTTGGGACCTGATCCTGGGCGTATTGGGCATCTCTGCCTTCCTGATCCACCTGGGTTCGGACCTGTGGACCGTGAGCCAGTATGTGCTCAGCGGTCACTACCTGTGGGCCGCACTGGTGTTGACGCTGCTGGGCCTCTCCTCGATTGCACTGCAAGTCTTCAGCTGGGTCTGGCTGCGCACCGACCCCGCTGACCTGCACTCGTCGCAGCCCTCAGGCCGCTGCCTGGCGCTGCTGCACCTCCTGCAGCTGGGCTACCTGTACAGGTGAGCGCCCCGCCCTCGGGAAGGTGGAGGTGGAACGGAGCCCAGGGGTACCTCCTGCAGTACCGGAGAGCACCCTGACGAGGGAAGCGGGTGGGGAGGTCTCCCATGGGCAGAGGCGAGCTGCCCGCTCCTTAAAGGGTAACTCCGGCTCCTTTGCTCTATTTATTCTTCCTGGCACAGGTGAAGAAACTGAGGCCCAGAGAAGAAAGGTATGATTGGGAGTCAGACGTCTCTGGGATCCAGTCTTGGCTTTGCCACCTGTGTGATCTCATTCCCGTCTTTCTCTGAGCCTCGGTTTCCTCCAATGTTGAAGAGTAGTAATCTAGAGACAGGTTTGCAGGGAGGCCTGCTTTGAGAGGTGCAGGAAAGAACACAGTGCTTGGCTGCTGATGGACTCTATTGAAGTGTCCCCTTTAGCTGAGGATGGGGCCTCAGGCAGTCATCTTGACCCCTCTGGGTCTCAGTTAACTCTTTGTTCCAGTGGGGATGGTCTTGGTGCCTGCCTCTGTTCGATAAGGAATAAATGAAATGAGACCTGTGGATTGTGTGCGAATGTCAGCCAGCTTCATGCTTACCTGGGTCATCCTGAGAGTTTCAGCAGCCCTGAACCCCAGAGCAGGGCTTGTCCCCTCACCCCCGAGTGCCTCTCACCCTATCTTTCCCAGCGTATTCTCCCAAAGCATCTCCTCCCCCCGCCCCCGTGCATTCTGACCATGCAAGAGGGCAGAGAAGGGGTCTGATTTATCCATGTCCCTGGAGCCGACCAGGGCTGGGCATAGGCCCCATCCCGGAGCCAGGATCTGCTCTTGAGTCCATTTTTACAGATTCTCACCAACTCTTGCCTTGACAGGCCTGCACTGAGTATCCAGGAGTGGGCGAGAGGCGCTCTCAATGTGGCAGTTCCGCCGAGAGCCTGTACAGGCATCACTGAAACTCTGGGTGGGCACGAGGAGGCACACTAACTACCGTCCTGGCAGGCCTTGGTGAGCCCCAAGTCCACAACTACATCGTGTGTCTTCCCTTCTCGGATTTTTGCTGAGTGCGAGACAGACAATGTACTGAGCTTTGGTTTTGAAAACGGGGTCTCTGTGTCTCCCTGCAACTAGGCTGAGGCAGGGCCCTGCCCTGGTATTGGGGAAACAGAGGCAGAGGCTCCTGCTCAGGGGGAGCCCCAACCCGGGCCTGCCTGCCTACTCCCTTGCCGGGTTGTCAGGTTCGCCCAGGGGAGGTAACAGTACACCTCTGATGAATGAATTCGCGGTCAGTGACTGGGCTCACCCTGCAGGAGCCAAAGGAGACCAGTCGTGGGTAGGGGAAGCCTTGTGTGTTCCACTCCCCACTCATGCCAGTGGGTCACCCAGCCTTGTCTCTCCGACCTCTGGACTCTCTGAACTTTGCCACAGTATGACACCCCTTCCCCACGGGATTCTAAGAACTTCTTAGGCTTGCTAAAATTTGATAACTATCACTTTAAGCAATTTAATCTTATACTGTCGATATTCAAACATTACTGCTTATTAGCCCTTTGTTTTCCCATCTGTAAAGTGGGGATGTTGTAAGGCATGAATGAGACAGGGTTTGTAATAAACCTGGGACAGTGCCCGGCCAGCAGGAGCAGTGGTAGTTGTATTTATTCTCATTTTACAGATGAAGAGCCAAGGTCAGCAAGGTTGAGTGGCTTGTCCAGAGCCCCCCATCGCGTTAGTGATGAGCTGGGACTGGAGCCTGTTGGCATCGGCCTGATAAGTAGGGGGAGGAGGGAGGCCTCAGGACACTAACCTGGCCCCTTGGCTCATCTGTATGTGCCTAGGTGCATGCAAGGGCTGCGGCAAGGGCTGCTGGTGTGGCGGCAGGAGGTGCCCTCCGAGTTTGACTTGGCCTATGCCGACTTCCTCTCCCTGGACATCAGCATGCTGCGGCTCTTCGAGACCTTCCTGGAGAAGACGCCACAGCTCACGCTGGTGCTGGCCATCGTGCTGCAGAGCGGCCAGACCGAGTACTACCAGTGTGAGTCACACTTCCAGCGGCCAGTCCCACTCTCACTCGTGGGCAAGTTTCCCACAGATGCCAGAAATGTGTTCACTCTGTTATGAGGACTGCTTAGAAAATAGGGGCGCACGCTTCGGTCGGGCAGGTCCAGGTTCCAAGCCAGACACCAGCTGTATGAATTTGGACGCTGACTCAGCCTCTCTGGGTATCAGTCTGTTTTCATCTGTAAAGTGGACATAACAAATAGTCCCACCTCGTGGGACTGATGAAAGGATTGAGGGAGGTGACGCAGGTCGAGCCTAGCGCCTGGAGCATGACAAATCTTAATGATAGTTTTTACTATTTTGAAGAAAACAGATAAAGTATGTAGGGTGTTTGACACATAATAAGCAACTTATTGGTCAAGAAGCTGCGTACTGACCACCTTCCTACACCTTTTATTGAGCACCTTTGTGCCTGTTCCTGTACTAGGGACACAGCCCCTGCCGCCAGGGGAGCAGTCTGTACCCCGAGGAGCTTCGGGAAGCTTGTCCCCTGTGAAAGGGAAGTTAACACGCCCAAGGTCACAGACCAGCCAGTGGCCCAGCTAAGACTCCCAACTCGTGTCTGATTCAAGGTCTGGGGCTCCCCCTTCTCTGCCACACCCCTGCCAACCGCTGCTGTAAATGCCACAGCCTCCCAAGCAGCCAGTCCCCCCTCTGGCACCACTCACCACGTGACCTGCAGTCTTCCCCTCTGTGGCCTCGGTTTCTCCAACTGTACAAGGTGGAGTTGGACTTGATCTTCAACGACGCTTTCAGCTGGCACATTTGAGTCTGTAGTCTTAATTGAAAAGACAGCAGCCATCGTGATTGAGGCCCTGCTGTTCACCGGGCACTGCAGAGAGTGCTTTATTGCCTGTGTGCATGTTCACAGACTGGTGCTGTGTCTATCTCCACTTTGCACAAGAGGAAAGAGGTACAAAAGGGTGAAGCGATTTGCCCCGGGACACACAGCCCTCACTGGGCACACGTTTTTGTCTATTTGGGGCCCTGGGTGTCGAGGAGTAGGCACAAATGGATACAGTCTATGCTGTGTGTGTATGGGTGGGAGGAGAGGAGCGAGGGAAGAGACAGGCTCTCCCAACTTTTGATTTAGCAAACACTAATTCAGCTGCTCCTGTGCCAGGTGCTGGGCTACCTGGGGACCCCAGGGGAGCAGAATCTGTTTCCTGCCCTGAAGGAGTGCAGGGATAAGGAAACAGATCATTATTCCAGACAGAAGAGAGTGGGGTGGGGTCTGGATGGGTGGCTGTAGGGGATGCTGAGGTTGGAACTTGCAGGGTAAGGAGTAGGCCAGAAGGAACGGGGTACGTGCTCCCAGCCCACTGAACATCACGGGCAAAACTTGTCCAGGTCAGAGGACGCAGTGTGCTGGGCAGGCTGGGAGAATGCCAGTCCTGCTGAGACCTGGAGTGTGGAGGGGAGGATGGCTATAGATGTGACTCCAGGCTGGGCGTGGGTTCCTGGCCCGTAATAGGGCCCCAGTAAATAGCTGCTGAATGGATGCTATGGGAGGGGGGCAGGGAGGAAGCCTTCTAGAGACAGTTCAGTGCTGCTTCCCTCCGGCCCTGGAGGCCCTGGAGCTTCCAGTTCACGGCGGACAACGAGGAGGTGCGGCAGGATCACCACTGAAAACTTCGAGTCTCAGAAGATCAAGACCAGGGCCCAGTCCGAGCGTGGAGAAGAGGGGAGTGAGGACACTCCATCCGTACAGCCAGAGGCCTATTGCCACCTCTTGGGGTTTCCGGCTTCCCTTTCTGAAACTAAGGGGGAACTGGGACTGCTGATTTCAGATTCATGATAGGCTTGGGTTCTTCCGGGAAAAAGGTTACAGGGCTGTCTACGATGCAGACGTGTGGCCAAGACCCAGGGTGCAGATGAGGCTGTGTACGCCACACCCGCCTCGTCCCTGAAAAATATCACTGTGGTAGCACCTGAAAGTAAAGCTTTGTGGTGAAGGGCAGACCCCATATTTGAATCCCAGGTCTCTTTGGCTCCCAGCTGTAGTTTTCCCTCCAACAAACTGAGGGTTCTGGTGCCTGCCTCAGGCTGGTTATGAGGGCCCCCGGAACCTGGGAGCACCAGGTAGACTGCCCACAGAGGTCAGCTGTTTCCTCTTCCTCTCTAGGGGCCAGCATCTGCACGTCCTTCCTTGGCATCTCGTGGGCACTGCTTGACTACCACCGGGCCTTGCGCACCTGCCTCCCCTCCAAGCCGGTCCTGGGGCTGGGCTCCTCCGTGATCTACTTCCTGTGGAACTTGCTGTTGCTGTGGCCCCGAGTCCTGGCTGTGGCCCTGTTCTCAGCCCTCTTCCCCCACTACGTGACTCTGCACTTCTTGGGCTTATGGCTGGTACTGCTGTTCTGGGTCTGGGTTCAGGGTACCAACTTTATGCCGGATTCCTGGTCTGAGTGGCTGTACCGGGCAATGGTGGCCACCATTCTTTATTTTGCCTGGTTCAATGTGGCTGAGGGTCGCACTCGAGGCCGCAGCATCATCCACCTGGTGTTTCTCCTGAGTGACAGCATTCTCATGGTGGTCACCTGGGTAATGCAAAGTGCCTGGCTGCCCAGTGGGATCCTGCTGCACATATTGCTGCCTGTGGGTGGCATCAGCTTCCTTTTGGGTCTGGTTCTGCGGCTTGTCTACTACCGCTGGCTGCATCCTAGCTGCCGCTGGGAGCCTGCCGAGGTGGACGGGACCCGGAGCCTCTACTGCGTTGAGTTGTATCAGCTGCCTCAGAACAGGCGTATGGTCCATTTGGCCCAGAATTTCTTCCCTAAGGCTTGGGATGAGGCTGCTTCTCCAAGGGGGAGAGAGGTAAATGGGGTCCTTTGAAGCAGGGTCAGATCCAGCCAGGGGACAAAAGGATAGATGGAGTCAACTGGTAGAATGCAGAAGATAGTTATGCTGCTGTGGGCCTTGATTCATTCAACAAGCACTTGATGCCTGATCTTGCCAGGCACTGAAGACCAGAGTTGAGTGAGACAAAGCCCTCCCTCTAAGGATAAGAATAAGATGAGGAGGGCCAGGCCTTGGGGAGTCAAGGACCTCAACTATATATAAAGCACTTTGGGAGGAAAGAAGAGATCCCCTTTTCTGTTTCTCCCAGTCAGTGTGTCTGGTGCCCAAAGCATCCCAGTGTTGGTATTTCCACCTCTGATGTAATCGGCAGAGGTGCCCTCCCGCCCTTAATTCCCCTATCCTGGGTGAGAAGGTCCTAAGAACTCCAGGATGTGTTTTCCCAGAGTCCTTTCTCTCCTGCCCGACTTCGATTGTTCAGTTCACTCACCAGATGTTTACTGAGGGCATTTGATGTGCCAGGAGCACCCTTCCATCCTTGGAGCCTGGAGCAAGATCAGCTGCCGCTCTTACCATCTCTGCTGCTCCTGCTGGGGCTCTCCTGCCGGAAGCCAGGCATGCCCAGTAGCTGGCCCCTACCAACCCCTCCAAGGTGGGGGGAGGAGGGCAGCTATTTTAGTGCCACTGGCCCAGCCTCTGCCCCAGCTCTCATGGGGCTGCCTTTCAACCATGTGCCTTGTGGACCTGTGGTCTGGGCCGTGACTCAGCCGTTGAGTATTTTTTATGCTTTAGGCAATGTACTTTCTACCTCAGTCTGTTGTGAGAGAAGGGAAGGTGTGTGCCTGTCTGCAAGTGAGAGACGTACGTGTTTTTGTCGAACAGTATTACTAGGTTATTATTAAAAAGCTCATAAAATCCTCCAAACTAGTTGTGTCATTAAACTAAATCTGCAGAATCCAAAGCCGCCTGGAAAGAAGGGGTCAGGAACATAAAGTTCACTGCTCAAAATTGGGAAAGGCCCTGGCACAGAGAAGAGGGCTGGCTTAGGCAGGACTTCTCAACCTTGGTCTCTAAGTTTCAGGAGCTGGTGAACTGGTACGGGTTGATCGTTCAGGTGGGCATCAGAACCCAGATCTGGACGACTCGTGCTCTGCTGCTGGGCCTGGCAGGGGGAGCCACAAAAACCACTTTTGGTACCAGGAAGGGAACACGAGAGCCCAGCTGAAGGTCTTGAGGCTGGGAGCCAGGGAGGGTGTAAGTGATGAAGTGACTTAGGGTATGTGGAAGTAGGTAATGGTGCCAGGGAGGTGCAACCTCTTGCTGCTCAGAGCTCTGTGGTTTAGAGAAGCAGGAACAGGAAAAGGGTGCTGGGGACAGAAGAAAACAGTCGCCATGTGGTGGGACTCAGGATAGTTTTCAGTTCCACTATTCATTCATTCTAGTGGAGACATGTAAATAAACAGGGTAAGTAAAACAGATAGTGTTAAGTATTATAAGAAAAAGCAGGGAAGGGGACAGGGAGAGTGTGTGTATTTTCATGTGTTGTGTGGGAGTTACAATTTGATGTAGAATGGCCAGGAAAGGCCTCCCTGAGACACCCAGCCCTAAAGGACATGAGGGAGAAAACGATGCATGTGAATTTTTATCCCAGACACCAAATCAGCAGTGACTGCAGGAAGGAGGGTTTGCAGCGGCTATGCTGGCCCACTGCCAAGGATGACGGATGAGGGTTGGGAGCAGGGGAGGGAGGCTCTGAGGAGATGATGCTGGTGCTTTTTCACACACTTAGAAGCAGAAAGGATTTCCAGACTTTTGAATTTCATGGACCAGTAACATGGTCAACGTGGTCACTAAATTAATCAATGTACAAAAGGCAGTAAAAACTATCATTATTATCTTTATCATTTTTAAAAGAAAGTGTGTCATTAACTCAGGAAAAGGTCCATTCTTTGAAGCAAATACATTTAAACACACACATGCACACATACAACAGTGAAATCTATGATTTTTCTCAACTCATAAGGAATGTCAAGGGTTGAGACTCCAGACTGTGGGCTAAGTGCCCAACCTAGCCTTGGACAGAGGTCCTAATTTTCACTAAACCCAGGATTTGCTCCATTTACTTTTCCACATTTCTGCTTGTCATATGTGGAGACTGAGTCAGAAATGCCAAATATGTCAGTGGAAGATGCAAAGTTCTAGGCAATTCCCTATTTTCCCCTGAGAAAATCCAAAAAGATGTTTCTAATCTCTTGCCTAAGTTCTAATCTATCCTCTAGATGAAGTTGTCAAATGATAGTAGTATGTATGCAGTCAACTCCCAACAATGTATGCTCGACTGCCTGAAAAGCCAAAGAGCTCCATTTATATAGACACCTAAAAGTTTACAGGATCAAGAGTTCTGAAAAGACGAGTGATGCTACATCCCGCTAGAAATTTCCTTTGAAGCCCTGGCCGGTGTGGCTCAGTGGACTGCAGACGAACAGAAAAGTCGCCCATTTTGATTCCCAGTCAGGGCACATGTGTAGGTTGCCCGTGAGGTCGCTAGTTGGGGGCGCACAAGAGGGAACCAATAGATTTCTCTCCCTCGATTTCTCCCTTTCTCTCTAAAAATAAATAAAATTGAAAAAAAAAACATCCTTTGGAGATTCCCATCTTTTTTTTTTAATGTCAAGAAACTTGGTTTTGAAGAATAAAAATTTCTGAATTGCCAGCCACAAGTTTTTTTTGCGGAAAGTGCAGATGTTATACTCACTGTAGGGGAGATGGAGATGTTTACTCTTCGGGCTTGAGAAGCAACCGGTACTGTGATATTTCTACTTACGAGCCAGCAAGGCTACAGCAACTCACGAGTTTGCTCAGTTCCAGTCTGGTCCAAAATGCACACCTTCTGATGGAAAGATTTAATGCCTAGAATACATGCAACTCCCTCTTTTCTGGGGTAATTATTTTGGGAAAAAATACACCTTGTAGTCTGACATGGATGGTACGTGCAAGCTAGAACCGAATTCTGATTTCCTTCATTGAAATCAAAAGCAAAAGAATTATTTTTCCAGGCCAATAATGGACAGTCAGACCGAAATCTGAAGAAATGAAATGAGGAAGTCGTTGATGCGACATGAAATCTGGCCCAATCAAACAAGGTTTGATGTCAGTCTGTCAGTTTATTGCTTTTGCGTGTTAAGCTCAGCACAGCAAGTTACTGTCTCTGTAATCATTGAATGTCAGCACAGTTGACAGCACATGAAATCTGTTGCCATACCAGTCCTAAACGTTAAAAAGCAATGTATTTTAGATGCAATTAATAAACTTTCCCTTGTAAATAACTTTAAAATATTTTTTATTTCCCCATGTACACTTATTTATACCAAATGGTTAGTTTGTTTCTACTTTTTTAGTGAAATTAATGACTCAGTTATTAAAAGGATGCTAACTTGCTAACAAGCTCTTCAGAGTTTTATGAAGCCTTTCTTAGGACCCTACTCAGCTGGGCAACTAGGCTGATCCTATTCAGAAAAGACACAGGAGCAAACTGTATAGAAAATAAAAACTTTATTTTTTTTCAAGTTTACAAGATAGTTCCCATTACATATAGCATTATGGTCAAAGACTCTACAGCCACAAATGCCCGCAGTCACATAAATATATCCAATGCAATCAACGCCTTTTCCTGCTAAGTGAGGCATGAGTCATCCAGAGGGTCAGGTTGCGAGTGAAGTCGTCCTTAATGGGATGGCTCCGGTCAGTGCATTAGGAACTAGCCTGTGAACCTTGCTTGCTAGAGCTGACTCCAAGGAGATAGAAACTGAGGGCCTGCGGACTGGGGATGGGGTCAGAACTAGATTTTCTCTCGTGATTTAAGATACTTTAGAATCTCAGAATTCAGATTTGGCTTGTACAGTGTGAAATCTGGGGAGTTCTGACTTTTGGATGAAAAAGAAAACCAATTTAGCGGTAAGAAATACACGGCTGCTTAAGAGGGGCCCTACTTGCTGAAGGAGCAGAGAAAACGCCCCGAGCTCACCATCCCTTAGCTTCGACCCTCCCTATCCCAGGAAGAGAAAGAACAGCTGCCCCTCTCCTACACACCCCTCCCCCCCACTGCTTCAGTGACACTGACACCCATTCAAGGGAGAGAACATCCAGAAGCTCCATCTGCTGCAGCTGGAGTTTGCCGGTCAGATTCTACTTGAGCGCTTTAAAGTGGAGTTTGTAAACTGCGAACGAGCTGTGGCACAAGTCTCCTGGGACACTGACTTTGGCCCCCCTCCCAACTTGCAGAGCAGAAGACAGAACACCTCAAAACAAATAAAAGCATCTAAATCTGGAGCAGGAATCCATTCTCCTGGACACCACCAGCTGCCCCAGGGGGACTGGACAGGGTGATGCTAAGGCACAGTTTTACATTCGAAAGTCAAGCCACCTCTTAAATCCAGAACACATTGGGTAACTCCAGATCCCTCATTAGAGAAAGTCTTCACCACGAAATGTGCAGACCCATCTTACAGAATTCAGTCCCCAGCTGGGGGAAGGATTCATCATGTGGCTAATTTCACAGGGACTCTCTCTAGTAAAGAGGGCTTCCCCCTTGATGGACTGCCCGTGTCCTTGGACCCTAAGCTTCCAAAAGCTCTTGGTGCTACCCCTTATTTTCCTTTCCAGATCTTCATGCTGGGGAAGAGGAAAACAAGGGGTAAAAGAGCACTGTTTCCCGGACAATTCATTTTGGCAAACAGAAGCCAGGTCCCATTTTCTGCCCGCCCTCTGATTGAGGGTGGCAACAACCAGGAAGGAGCAGATGCTGCTCTGCTCAGAGCTTCCTCTCCTCTCTCGGTCATTTCACATTCCTTCTGCAAACACTTAGGTGGGGCAGTCAGGGCAGGAGGAAAAAGGCCACTGACAAAGGGGTCCAAGTCATAGTCTAGGAATAAAGAGCTCCTCCCAAAGGGCGGGGAGAGGGAGGGATCTGTGTGTGGACCTGTGTGCATAATGGCGGTACCACTCCACAGCCTCTCAAGCCTGAGGCGAAGCACCAACCAGGTGGCCTATGTGCAGGGCAGGAAACCAACAGTTACACTGCTGGCAGTGGGCTTGGGGCCTGGAGAAAAGACCATCCTAGAGCTTCCTAAGATCAATTATCAAGCAAGGCAGAGCAGCTTCTGGGCAACTGTGTCAAAATCAGACCAAGGCAAGGTTTGCCTCAGACTATATAACTGCCCCTCACCCCCACCTCATCAATGGAAACAAGTCCAAAGCAGCAGCTACATAATGAACATTGACTTCAACTCCTCTCCAGAAACCTCTTTCCTGAAATGGTGAGCCCTGAAGCAGTTTCTCAACCAGTTCTGAAGGAATGTGTACAAACAGCCTTTCTGTGCTGTATGAGTGACAAGGCCTGGGGAGGAGTTCGGCCTCTTTGTGCTGCAACATCTCTGGAAATGGGCATGAAGAACCTCTGGGGGTAAGCAAGCGTGATGGGCTGGTCAAGGATGCCTCCCCTACCGAGAACGCAGACTACATCCCTCTGAGGTGCTTACATCACCACTCCTCACTGCAGCCTGGGACGGGCTGAACTTCTTCAGCTGCAGGGAAGTTTATCCTCCCTGAGCAGATACCTGGGTTCGTCTTGGAGGGATGGGGCATACACAAACGCAGCTGGGCTAGGAGATGTTCCTGCATTTGGCCCAGGATGAAGTTTCTAGGCATGGAGTAAGAGGTCCAGCAACTTCCTTTAAAACAGAAACGTCTTCCTGGCTTCTAGTTTCCCATTTCAAAATGAGATTTGAGAAGTGGGAAGGGTGTACCATGAGAAAAATGGGGTTTGATCACAGCAACCTCCTGTTCAATTTCAGAGAGAGATCTGGGTAAATACATACCCAGAGTACCCTTCACAGGGCGTAAGGGCTTCAAAGGAAGTCAACTACATTGGTAGTTTTGCCCACAGTGTAGTTACAAGCCTGTTCTTTGACTCACTTTGACATCTTGGGCCCAAAGCCTAGTAACTGGCCAGAGCTGAATGGAGCCAGCTGTGAGGTGCTCAGAGCGGGAGAGGGACAAGAGCCCCTGCTGATGGCCAGGAAGGAAGAGGAGGCTGTAGGGTGAACATTTGTTGCGGGGAGAGTGCTTCTGGGCAGGGCGAAGGTGGAATATTCCTGTTTCAAGAACCTAAGTGGGAATTCACACGAAGCCTTAGTCCCTTCTTTCCAGTTTGGAGGTAAGCCCCCGGGGCCTTGTCTTCAAATAACCAAGTCAAGCTGAGGGCTTAGCATTTACTGTCTAAGAGGAGTTTCCAGGATTGTGTCATTTGGTTAAAGGGGAAGAGGGATTAGAAAGGGGACTAAGGCTTCTAGGATGGGAAATAACAAAGTCTCACGTTAATCACTGTCTAGTGCCCCACAGTTCAGCACACACGGAGATGGAAGAACGGGAGGGAAACCATCCCAGACAGCAAACCACTGGAGCCGCTGAAGAGGTGCTACTGTCACAGAGAGGTATTTTAGAGAGTTCAATTACTATTTTCCAAGGAAACTTGACACACCCCTTTCTTGCTAGAAAAAGGAAGGAGAACCTGCTTCAGAGACCAGACCCTTTCCTATAAAAATTACATATACATTCACTGGGGATATGTCCTACAGCTAAGGAGATTACAAAGACTGCAAGAGATGTTATTACAAAAGTCTGCACATTTTCCCTATCACCACAAGTTAACAGCAGTTCTCACTCAGGTCACGGACAAAGAGTGCAACTCTGCCCCCCAAATTTCCTTTTTTTCTTCATTTTTTGAAACAACATAAAAAACAAAACAAAAGGAAAAAACCCCAGAAGAATTAAAAGCACTGTAGCTGCAGCAAGTCTCTTGTTCTCCCAATCCAATTGTCTCCCGCTCCTGCACAAGGGTGAACGTGGGGCTGCAGGCTCACTCTTAGCCAAACTAAGCTTCGCCCCCTGCAGCTACTGGTTCTGATTGTGTTCTCGCCAGCATTCCATGGAGAAAGACAGAGTTCCGAGCTGGTTCCAGTCTCCAGCTCGCTTCAGGAGTGAAACAGAGCTCATGGGGAAGGCTCTTCATTCCAGTTCTTAGAGAAAATCAAGCTCCAAAGCCTGGTGGAGGGACACTAGGTCTCCGTGGTTTGTGATCCTCCAGAAAGGCATGTTGTGCTGGAAGAGAGTGGGCAGAGCTGCTTAACCCAACTACTTTTGGGAAGTCTTACCTACCCAAACCCCATTCTCCACAGACCTCTCCCCAAGGTGGTGGGAAGTCCTCTCTACCGCCGCCCAACTCATGGGGCTGCCGAAAGAGCAAAGAAGTCCTATGTATAAGGACTTTGCACACTATGGGGCACTACAAATGCGAGAGATTCCTATTAGGTTTCCGGGGTAACTGTGCTTTTATGAGCGATATACTTATTCTAGCTACTATATAGGATCTTTAGGATCAAATAAAATACCCACATCAGAAATTAGTGCTAATATTACTTTTTTTCATAGGCCCAAATCTTGTCCATGACCAAGATTCAGAACACACGGATCTGGGAAATAAGAATCCCATTATATAATACAGTCAGAATTATGCCCACAATCCTGCATGCCATTCTGAAAGCCTTTTAAAGGGCTTTTAAAAATGCAAGTGTTAGAAACCATGTTTTATGAAGCTGAAGATTAGCTTTAGTGATTGTCTTGTTCAGAGTGTTACAAATTACCCAGAATTTTTAAGTGTTAGAACAGTTCTTTTGGCATATAACTCAGTTTTTTTTCTAGCTTGCTGCTAACACACAATATTTAAAAGGTTTTTAATATAAGTAGAAGCAGACTCATTATGCTGTGCGCAGGTGTCCCAGACTAGGACCAAGATGTGAAAGGCAGAGAGATAAACTTAAGTGCAGTGGAAGGTGGAACATCCTAACAGTGTGGACAACCCCACAGTAGAACAAGACGTCTGGGAAGCAGCCTCCTTTAGGTTTGAGTGTGTTCAAACAAAAACTAGAAAGTCCGTCACAGAGGCTGCAGAAAGGATCCCTCCCAGGGTGGAGGCTGAACTGCAGAGGCTGTAGGGCATTCTCCAACAGGTACATTCCATGGTAGATGATTACAGGCATCATCTTGGACACCTACTCTGCTAACTACTTAAGTGTTTCTGTATCTCCCCTCACCCTTCTTCAAACAAAGAAGCACCGATACCTCCATCTACTAGTATCTTTCCCAGAGGGCAACAAGAACTTCAGAATAAAAACTCCAAAGATAACACAAACAAGTGGGAAACTAATAAAGGTCCTTGAATTGCTACATAAAGTGGCAAATGAAAACACAATGAGTTAACACTGCCAATCGATTACCACTCATCTCACAGTTCGTTAATAGTTGCCAACGGTTTGTATGTTACTGAATGAAGAAAATTCAGACAGCAGTCCTAGCTGACAACCCACTGCCTCCAAGTTTGAGACAGAGACCTGCTAGAAGAAAACTGGGGTAGAAAGACCTTCTGCAGATCCATTTAGCAGATGAGGAAACTCAAAGAGGATAAGCAACTTGCCCAAGTTCACACAATTAATGATTCAGATTTTAACCTGTGTGATTTTAGATTCCACCGCCAAGACTGTTTCCATCTATGTCCTGTGTTAAGAAGGAACAACTGGACTTCTGCCAAGATGGAGGCATAGGTGGAAATGCCGTGCTTTCTCACACAACCAAGGTTAGAGACAACAAAATATTAGCAACAGAAAACACAGCCAGAACACAGAAAATTGAACTTTTCGGAAGTCTGATAACAACAAATTCTTCAGCCTGACCGGTGAGAGGGGTGAGGCCAGAGGCTGGTGGAGCGTAGGTTGCACAGGAAAACTCGGTCAGACGGACTCAGGCGCGAGGATCCCAGGCATGGGGTTGTGACAGGTGGACCCAGTGAGCGACTGGCAACCCAGCGAGGGTGCAGGGTGGCAGGTTGACTGTGGTTGCGCATTCCTGTGCAGATAGACCAGCGAGGGAGTGGGCGGTGAGATGGGACCATGCAGGCCCCAGGAGCGAGAGGCAGCAGAGGAGGCTGCCATTTCCCCGCTCTGACCCCGCCCCCACATACAGCACCACAAACCAGCAACCTGGGCAGCCCCACCCTGGTGAACACCTAAGGCTCTGCTCCTCATACTTAACAGGCCCAAACAGACCAAAAATGGCTCAGGAAGATCTCAAAGCCCCAGAGCTCATAACTCTAAGCGATGAAGAAATAGCCAAACTTTGAGATGCACAGTTCGAAACACTGGTGATCAGGATGCTCACAGAACTGGTTGATTTTAGTCACAAATTAGAGGAACATATGAAGGCGAAACTAATTGAAATGAAGGGAATTGCACGGGACACCAATAGTGATGAAAAGGAAACTGGGACTCAAATCAAGGGAGTGAACCAGAAGGAAGGAAAAAATGACCAAACAGGAAAATATGAAGAAACAAGAATTCAAAAAAATGAGGAGAGATTTAGGAACCTCCAGGTCATCTTTAAATGCTCCAACATCTGAATTATAGGGGTACCAGAAGGGGGAAAGGAACAGCCACCAGTGGAAAACTTATTTGAACAAATAATAAAGGGGAACTTCCCCAATCTGGCAAAGGAAATAGACTTCCAGGAAATCCAGGAAGCTCAGAGAGTCCCAATGAACTTGGACCCAAGAAGGAACACACCAAGGCACATCATCATTACATTACCCAAGATTAAAATGAAGGAGAGAATCCTAGAAGCAGCAAGAGATAAGGGGACAGTCACCTACAAAGGAGTGCCCATCAGACTGTCAGCTGATTTCTCAAAAGAGACCTTACAGGCAAGAAGGGGCTGGAAAGAGGTATTCCAAGTCATGAAATCCAAAGACCTACAACCAAGATTACTCTATCCAGCAAAACTTTCATTTAGAATGGAAGGACAGATAAAGTGCTTCTCAGATAAGATCAAATTCAAGGAGTTCATCATCACCAAGCCCTTATTATATGAAATGTTAAAGGGACTTACCTAAGAAAAAGAAGATAAAAAATATGAACAGTGAAAGGACAGCAAACTCACAGATATTAACCACCACACCTAAAAGCAAACTAAAAGGACAGCTAGATCAGGAGTGGAAACATAGAAATGAGAATCTTATGGAGGGTTAGCAACAGGAGAGTGGGAGAAGGGGGGAGAAGGTACAGAAAATAAGTAGCATAGATGGTAGGTAGAAAATAGAGGGAGGGCAAGAATAGTATGGGAATTATAGAATCTAAAGAACTTGAGACACATGGTCATAAACTAAAGGGGGGGAATGGTGGGGGTGGGGGGTGCAGGGTGGAGGGGAATGAAGAGGGGGAATAGGACAACTGTAATGGCATAATCAATAAAATAAAAATTAAAAAAAAGAAGGGACAACTGAAGTTGAAGGGTTAACATCACAACAATCTCTTCAGGGCTCAGAAGCAGGAGGAACTTTCTCCAAACAATTCCCCATTGATTGTAATGATTTTTGAGAATCTGAAGCTTGGAAAAAGCCAATTCTATTTGCCTTTTTGTAGCCAAGTCTCATGCTCCTCAGAAGGCACTGCGGGAAGTTGAACTGTGATACAGCTGCCGGAGAGGTGCTGATCTATCCTGGAGAGAGCTCAGGAGTTGGATCACCCTTCTGCTGAAGGGTGAGAGGAGGAGACTGGAGCTGTGCCCCCACCCCACCACTAACTAGAAGCAAGCTCTCTCTGGGAACATGATGTAACCTTAGGTAAGGCAGCTTCTGCTGAGGGCAGTCCTGGGAGAGGGACTGTGGGCCATCAGCGGCTAAGAGCAGGGGGCTAAGGACATGAGTGGCTCAGTCCTGCTGGGGTCTGGGCGGCACACCACTGCATCCTCCAGAGAGCATAAGGCTCTGGTCAGTCTTCCCAAAACATTTCTTCTCTCAGCTACTCAGTAAACAATGAATTAATGTTTTATGATTCAGTATTTGAACTACAAAAAATTGAACTACAGATTTTTTTCTTGTCATTTAAACAGAGACTCAATGTGTGTTATCAGACAATTCAAAAGTCTAATGTCTTCCTTCTCAGTAAAAAATGAGAAGCCCAACAACAACAACAACAACTATGCTTCTGAATGAAGGCCACTGCCTCTCCAGGCAGATAGATGACTCAAGGAAGTACACTGAAGGTCAGGTTCAGATTCTCCTTAGAATTTTTTTCCATTCCAAAGCACATACAAATGAGTACACTTCAGCCCTGAAATCCCACTCTCTATAGCCTGGTAATATGGTTTCAAAAATTTCAGCCTGCAAAATGAGAAGGCATTCCTTGGATTCTAAGCTTCATTCAGTTTGAATAGCAGGTGGATACTAAAGACTTATAATCAGCAGTATACACAGAAGGGGACTAGAAAATTAACTGCACGGCTATTGTGAAGATTACAACTTGTTTTAAAATATACCACAAAGAGTCGTGAAGCTGTTGAAATGAAGTTTCATCATAGTTTTGTTCCAAATTTTTCCTATGGCTTTCAAATGGAATTGGACAAATCTGCTCTTTCTCCTGATGTTTTTTTCTTTAATAGGATCTATCATTTTCTTCTGAATTCCTAGAGCTCCTCTAAGATTTTCAAACAAAATTCCATTTATTGGATATCAGAATGCATATGACAAACTTTCAACTCTGTACTAACAGACCAAAGATGCTGCACTTGTGGTGCTTTCTCAACTTCTCCAGATAGGCTGGGATTACTATGTTAGTGAACCCTGGCTAACTGGATTAGAAGACTATATTTCACTTTTTCTTCACCTTAGAAATGAGTTATGTCATTTCAGTTTGCAAAAGATGATCTTTTTCACTGGTTGTAGCCATCACTACTTCCTCCAATTGTCACCTTTTCTCAGCACATTCCTGGCCCACCTTTTAATGTCCCTACTCACCTACTATGCTCCAACCAGGCTTCCTGCCTTCCTGCCCCTCCCTCTCATGTTCTCATTTCCATAAACCAGAGCACACAGTCATAGCTTCAAAATATACTCTAACCAGATTCAAGCCTAATTCTATAAGAGAGAAAAACCATTTCTCCAAAGAAGCAATGTACTTATGCCTAAAGCCTATCCTGATCATCTATATTACAAGTAATTTTTTTAATTTCACATTTTTTAAATTGTTTATGTATTGAACATTTTTCATGTTTTTCAGTCATTTATGTGTTTTCTTTTTGGCGAATTTCTGGCCATTGTGCTTGCCCATTTTTTTATTGGCAATGTGTTTTTTTTCTATTGATTTATACATGGTCTTTTTTTTTAATTTGCCTATTTTGATAAGTTTTTAAAAAAGATTTTATTCATTATCTTTAGAGGGGAAGGGAAGGGAAGGGAAGGAGAAAGGGAGAGAAATATCAATGTATGGTTGCCTCTCGTGTGTCCTCTGCAGGGAACTGGCCTGCAACCCAGGCATGTGCCCTGACTGGGAATCGAACTGCGGTTGTTTGGTTTGCAGGCCTACGCTCAATCCACTGAGCTACGCCAGCTAGGGCTTGATTTGTACATGACCTTTACCTATTTAATCTATTTTTCCCCAATCTGTGATTTATTTTTAGATAAAGTAGAAAAAATCACTCAATAAATATATCAAAATTACTACAAATTCAACTTTTGCAACCGAGCTCAACATTCTGCTATCACAAATTGGCATCTTTTCAATATATTCATAAATCTGCCCATAATATCACCCTTACCCTAATCCTGTATTTTTTCCTGAAAGGAAAAAATTTGGATACTGGCATCAGGCAGGAGACCATAAGCTGCCTCAATTCCAAAGAAATATAAGTTTTACATGTTTTTAAACATGTGAAAAAACCGCAATGATAGTATCATTAAAAAAAATGCAAACATACAAGGCAAAAAAAGCATCTCTAGCCATTGAATTATAAAATCAAAGAATTTTCAAGCAAGCTGAGCAAATTTTGTAATAAAACCAGTCATTTTACAGGTAAAAATACAGGAATACAGAGAGATTGAGAACTATGATCAAGGGTATATCTAATTACTATATATTTATGTACTTATAAACTATTATATATTATAAAATACAGGCAAGTATTTTATATAAATATGTAAAAATCATTTTATTAATGATACAAAACCCTTTTTGCTTTTACTATTATTAATAATATTTTTGAGAGTGCTAAGTGAATATTGCATTTTTATTTTTAAAAATCCCAGGTTATCACTTTTTGAGACAGCAATCCAAAAGTTGAGTTTTAAGTTCAGCTTATCTTGATACTTGGTTATTAAAAGAAAAAAGATAACTCAAACATCTGTAGATTCAATACTTTTCAATTCTATCCACTTATTCAAAAGTATTTTTTGAAAATCAGCTAATTTCTACCTTTTTTATTATCAGTTAACTGTTCTTGACAACTGAAAGGTATTATATTTTCAAATTTTAAAGAAGTGTTTGAATCCCAATGAAGTGCTTCATTTTAACGTGATGACTTTAAAACATGTTAGAAAAATGTCTTCAAATGTAGAGATATGAGAAGTTTTATAGATGATATATTTATATCTATTTCAAAAATAAAATTAAATGGTTATTTTTTAGAAAAGGTACTGCCCTCTAGGATGAAGGCGGAAGACAGGGCTCACGTCAGGTTTGATGTTGGGGTACCTGCAGCAGGGTTCAAAGAGTTTAAGATTTCTGAGTGGCAGTGAGGATGGGAAGGGGGAGATGGAACAACTTATAAAAAAAACTCCATTTGGGGAAAAAAGATGACTCTCCTTCTTAAAGAAAAATGGGAGAGGAAGAGGAAAAGGGGAACACTGTAAATGCACAACCGATTGCTAAGATTTCTGAGTTTCACCATTTTTCTAAGTGCTCAGTGCATTCCCACACTATTTTCTTTACCATGGTTACCTGCTTGGCTGCAATTTCTTCATCTCGTCCATCTCCAATCACTACATATGTGACTTTCTTTCCAAACCTTGACACAATTCTCTCAAAGCAGCTCTCTTTCCCTGATGAGAGAAAGCAATCTCCTATTAGGACATTCCACCCTACCTTTTTCCAACACCAAAGCAAAGGGATGCTTCTAGCTTTACCTGCTTGTACTCGGGAACATAAACAGCAGCCCCTGCAGTTTGCCTGGTGGGGCATAGTGGCGGCAGCTCAAGACCCACTGGCCCTCTGCATCTGTAACTGGGAGGCTAAGAGCCCCAGGCAGTGTGAGAACTGGGCACACCACCTCCCTTTCCCACATCTCCTGTACTTTATGGCTGACAAAGCAATTTTCAAGTTACTCCTTATTTAATTTTCAAAATAATCCAGCAAGATATGTATCATTTCCTATTTTAACAGGTGAAGTGGGACTAGTGACTTACTCCAGATCCAAATAAGCTTACAGCAAGAGTTTGGGCTCCTGACTTCGAGTTTAGGCTCTGGACATTGTGCCATGATGAATGGATATCTCTGAGGGGAAACTGTTTTAGTGCAGGAAAAAGAAGTGGGAGTACAAGGCCCTGATTTCTCTCTCTTTTTAAGATTTTACTTATTTTTGGAAAGGAAGAGGGAGAGAAACATTGATGTGTGGGATACATCAATCGGTTGCCTCTCGCTCTCCCTCTACTGGGGACCTGGCTTACAACTCAGGCATGTGCCCTGACTGGGAATCAAACCAGCAAACCTTTTGGTTCACAGGCTGGCACTCAATCTACTGAGCCACAACAGCCAGGACTGATTTCTTGTTAGTAATAGGAAAGAGACAAATAGTCATTTTCCTTCCAATTCTTCACTTTCCAGTAACAGTCCTAGGCATGGGCCTTACATCTTTCAGTGGGGGAGGAGCCCCAGAGTACCAACAAATATGGCAGCAGCATTTGTCATATCTGCAATTTCCTCACTATTATACTTTGTTAACTGCAACTGAGATACCGTACTACTTACTGAACATGACGACCTTGGGAAATGGGTGATTTCAATCCACTATAGACTGTTTTTAAATATATAGCAACATATCAAAATTCAAATCCCATCTGGAACCTATACCTAAAACATGTAGACGGTGCATGTTTATTTACATCTACTTTTTATTTGGAGAAATATATAAAAAGGTCCTGGCTGGTGTAGGTCAGTGGATTGAGTGCCAGCCTGTGAACCAAAGGGTCGCTAGTTTCATTCCCAGTCAGGGCACATGCCTGGGTTGTGGGCCAGGTCCCCAGGAGGGACATGTGAGAGGCAACCACACATGGATGTTTCTCTCCCTCCCTTCCCCTCTCTAAAAATAAATAAATATTTTTAAAAATAAAAATAAAAAATGCCTTGCATATAAAAGTGATCAATAAATATTTGGGGAATAGAGAAAAATAAATGTCAATTGGTGGGTTTATAACCTCCATAGATACTGGTATATTAATATAATTAAGCCTGGTGTTTTTTTGGTGGAGAAATCTGATCAATAGGCAAGAAGCAGATTAAAAAATAATTGACTACAGCTCATCTTTCAACTCCAGGCACCTCTCCTTTGCTACAATAAGAAGTAGGAACGGCAAGTACAGACTGAAGGGTCTGGAGGTAGGAAGATGGTTGTCATAATCCTCTTTCTTATACATAAGGATCCGAGTGAGGCCCTGTGCTGCCTTCTCGATGAAACAAGCTGGTTTTGTATAAATCTGGTGCCCATTTATTAACTAATTCGGCAAGTATTTATTGAGTACCTACTATTTCATATAGAGGTATACCTTGGGGACACTGCAGGTCGAGTCCAGACCACCACATTAAAGCAAGCACTGTAATAAAGCAAGCCGTAATCTCTCTATTGCTGGTGAAGGGTCTTGCCTTCAATTTATAAAAAATGTAACGTGTGAAACCCAATAAAACGAGGTACGGCAGTACCTGGTACTGAATACATTTTTAGGGGTTAAAAAGTACCTTCATAAATATAGTCTCATTTGCTTTTCACAACCTCTCTGTTATAGTTTCTCATTTTACACAAGAAAACTGAGGATCAGGAGCTAAAATAAGTTGCCTAAGGAAAAGAGCTAGTGAGCAGGGAAGCTAGTCCTTAGTAGTTTTTTGCCTTTTCAAAAAATTGTAAGAACATATAACCTAAAATTTACCATCTTAACCATGTTCAAGTGCACATTTCAGTGACACTAAGCACACTCACACTGTTGTGCAGCACATCTGCAGAACTTTTTCATCTTGTAAAACGGAAATTCTATCCCCGTTAAATTCCCTGTTTTCCCTTCTCTTGAGCCCCGTTAACCACCATTCTACTTTGTTTCTATGAATTTGACCACTTGGTACCTATATAAACGAAAACATGCAGTACTTGTCTTTTTGTGATGTGCTTTATTTGGCATAATGTCTTCAAGGTTCAAACATGTGGTAACGTGTGACAAGATTTCCTTCCCTTTTGAGGCTGAGTAATATCCCGCTGCATGTACATACGACATTTTGTTTATTTTTCATCTGCTGAGCATCTGAGTTACTTCTACCTCTTAGCCATTGTGGATAATGCCCTTATGAACAGCGTACAAATATTTGACATCCTGCTTAATTCTTTTGGATGTCCACCCAGAACTGGGATTGCTGGATCATATGGTAGTTCTATTTTTAATTTTTTGAGGAACCACCATACAGTTTTCCACAGCAGTGGACTTCACATCTTTCACTACACTTGTTGTTTTTCTGTTTTTTGATATCAGCCATCCTAAGGGATGTGAGGGGTTTAACCATTTTTAAATATACGGCTTAGTCTTTGATTTTTAAGCTAGTGACTTTTCTATTATACTATACTGCAGTGCTCTCCCTGTGAAAAAGAAATCTGAAATGAGGCAAAAATAGACTTCTAAACTACACATTATGTTCTCTAAAATATTATAAAGGAAAAGAGCATAGTAAGTTTGAAGTCCCACAGATCTCAAACTCAATCCTGTTTATGTAACTGACTATGTGTGACGTCTTGTGCAAGCTATATAACCGTTAAGCCTGAACTGCCTCATCGGTATTATCAGAAGACTGCTGTGAGGGTTACAGATATACAGAAAGTGTTTAAGAGAGAGAATGGTAAATTACAAGTGCATCCTAAGTAGGAAATATTATTGTAAGGCTAGTGACAAGCAGCAGAATAGAAACCATACCAATTTTGGTAGCACTATAGATGTTTTCAATAGGAAATATTTCTCCAAGCCCATAGAGGAGAACCTTGGCCAGAGCTGGAACCAGCTGTGTTGTAGTGATCAGAACATTCACACAATTCTTTCTAGAAGGGAGAAAGAAGGAAAAGAAAAGAAAAAGGTGAAACCAAACCAACCCAGGAGCAAGCACGCAAATGGATCTTCTCTTTAGGGTCTAATTATTAAAAACTAACCTTAAAGGGCACTGCATGATATTTGTTTAGTGCCAATGTTCATTTATTGCTCTAATCATTTCAGGTTTATTAACTTTCCATATAAAAGACAGAGATTCTACAGTGGGCACAGAGCAGACACACGATTCCTGCCTCATTTTCCTCTGACCAATCTCTCACTGCACTTGTTAGCAATTACCAACACCGATACCACCCTCATTCTTTGATGTCACCAGCCCCATCTCATGGGCTGAAGAGTATGAGTTATGGAGTTTTAATTCTGTGAGCAAAAAGTAAGGGGAAAGAAAAAGGCTTTCTTTCATATTCTCTTAAAATTCTAAGGTGTGTTGTTACTGTAAAATGACCGTGCCTCCGACCTACTCTAAATACATCCTTCCTTCATTTAAATTCTTCTCACCCCATCTGAAATCCTATTTTAGGAATGGCCTGTCCTGGACTAGCGTAGGAAAGGGTATGTCTGAGAGGATGAGAGACCCTAAAGAACTATTTCATACCTGGACTGGATGAGAAGTAAGGACTTTAATGCAGTTCCTAACCAGGAATCTGTTAAAACTTCAATCTCTGCTCTTAGTCTCTGCAGTGCTTCCTTCCTCTGGGGACTGAGAAGGCCTTTGGGAATAAAAACAGACATGTTTATCATAAGAAAAAATATCCGTGCTGACATTGAGGACTAAATTCAATTTAGAAATAGTGTGTCACTGAAATATTCTACTGAGCTAATAAAATAAAATCTTTTAAAAAAGACATTTCTATGAGGATTAGAACTGTGTATAATTTGTTTTCAGATCAATGGTTTCATAATGCAAGCATAGAATTAGATGACTCTCAGTGTTTCTAATAAAACAAAACCAATACCTCTATGTCATGCATGATATATACATAAGTATCTATGTGTCGTATGTTTAATGAATAGTATGATGTGGCACCTTTATAATTCAAAAGTTTTACTAAATACAGGTGGACAGTATTTTAGGCTCAGGGGATTCTCACAGAGAGTTGTACTACTTTCTTCAAGAAACTAGGACTAGGCACTCCTAGGCAGAGAAAGAATCAGACGCTTTAATTAGATTCCCAAAGCCCAGATGCCTGGGATTTTTGCCTGGTATTGGAGGGCTAGAATCAAACTGCCTTCAAAGTCCTATTTTTATTTCCTGTACCACAGAAAGTGGTAGCATGGTATGGCAGGAAGGTTCTCTTGACCTGGGGTAACATACCTCTAGGCAGTCTAGAGAACCCCTGAAACTTCACACAACATTTTGTGTGTATGTAGAAGTTTGAGGGTGATGGTTCATAGTTTTAAATATTTTCTCATAAGGGTATATCACTCAAAAAAGAACTGCATAAATGTCAAGTGGACCAAGAGTTAAGGGATGTGAATTCCAGCTATGATAGGTCATTAACTTGCTATGATAACTGCCCATGTTACTTTCACAATGGACATCAATTTTCTCAAATGCAAAATAAGAAATTTACATTAGCTAATATCTCTTCTAATTTGGGCAGTCTAACACTAATTAATTCATTCATTCCAAATAATAAAATTGTAGGCCTTGTGGCATCTAACATATGAGCTATTTCTAGGTAGAAAGAATTCGCTTGGTCCTACATATTAACACATGAACACCACCAACCTATACTCCTGGACCTGCTTTTCCATCTACCATAAACCTACTCATTAGTTCTATGTGACTTATCCTGATATATTATTGGTTAAAAAAAGCAGAAAGAAAAAGCAACCTATTACCCAATACTGACAGTAGTTTTTGACTCCAGAATAAAACACGTTATAAAGTATAATCAATGAAACACATTTCCTTTAAAAAGGACTTTGTCTAAAAAAGAATAGGAGAACTTTGCAAAGTTATGCCAAGAGAAGTCCATGAGAAATGCAGAGCTCCTCCCCAAAGCGTTTTACTCAAACCTTCATGTTTTTAAATACAGAATTAAAATGTTATTGTGACTCAAATTCATAAGCAGTTGCTGGGGAGTTCTAAGGAACCTCTGGAAAAGGAAGCAGGAAATAAGAAGGAAACAAAGTCAGACTGGCTGTAGGCCACACTTACCACCCACGTTGCTTTTATGCTTGTCATAGATTTCTCTCACTTTTCGGTAGCGGAAAGCCAGTTTTCTCATCCAATCCACACCTCCCTGTACACCCACAGAGGAACCATGGCTGCCACTGCCACCTGAGCCACTGAAACCATCTGTTGAGAAACTGTAGTTGCTGCAAGGAGAGAGGATAATGAAAATTAAAATTTATACCGCATGGGGTTTTTGGATGAGTGCCATCTGGGATTTTCTGCCCTATGCCTGGCACCTAACACCAAGGCTGATGGCAGAGTCTATCTTTCACTAGTCTTCTATCTCACCCCTATTACTTTATCAAAGAAAGGGCAAGAGACATACAAACAATTCAAGCACTGGTGGCATTCCTCAGAAGCTGGCTTAAAATACAGCATTCTTTCATTAATGACAGTATCTTACAGTGAAAAAAAACACCCCCAAAAAACAGAATATAAAATTTTTGTGTAGGGGGAGCATTTCAGATCTTGTTCCCTGGCATATGTCCTCAGTTTGGGTCAAATAAACTGTTACTTTAAAAAAAAAGTGTGTATGCACATACAAAACGATTGCATCTATGTAAGGGGATAATTCTCTTTGGGTGATCTGTTGGCTAGTTTACTAAGTGCATGGTCCAATGTGGTGGCTTTCAAACACATCCACAATTCTTGAACACTCTTCTCTTCCAATTCTGCTCTCTCTGGGGTATCCAGTGTATTTGATATAAACAGAATTTGGTGGAAGTGATGGTGTTGGACCTCGGAGACTAGGCTTCTCTCGTTCTCTCTTGGAGCATTTATCCTGAAAGAAGCCAGATGTCACATGAGAACGCTCAGCTACCCCATGCAGAGGCACGCAGGGAGGAAATTAGGCCTCCTGTGACCAGCCACAGAGGAGAGGATGAAAGCAGATGCTCCAGCTCCAAACAAACCTTTAGATGATTTTTAGCTCTGACCAATATCTTGATTTCAATCTTACAGACCCAGATTCAGAACTACCTAGCTCCTCACTTTCAAGTTTCTGACTTACAGAAACTATGAGATGATAAATGTTTATTATTTTAAGCTAATAACTTTTGGGATAATTTGTTATACATCAACAGCTGATACAGGCATACCTTGGAGATATTATTGGTTTGGTTCCAGACCACCCCAATAAAGGCAAATACTGCAATAAAACAAGGTTGGTGGAGGTTTTTGACTTCAGTTTGTTAAAAAATGTAACATTTGTGAAGCACAAGAAAATGAAGCACAATAAAAGGACATAGCCTAGACAGTTAAATAGGCTGGGTGGGACTAATACTTCCGAAACAAAGATTTTAAAATGATTGACAGAATTAGAGACAAGTTGTTTTAATCAAAAGCCAAAACATAGTTCAGTAGGTTATGTGATATTCTATATTTAAGAAAATAAAGCTGCCAAGACTACAATAGGTAATTACTGGTTAGCCACAGTAAAATGTCATAAGAATGGTGGCTTAGGCATTGCCTGGCAAACCTAAAGGTCATTGCCAGTTTGATTCCCAGTCAGGGCATGTGCCTGGACTGTGGGCCAGGTTCTTGGCTGACTCTCGAACATTGATGTTTCCCTCCCTTCCCCCCTCTCTCAAAGAGGAAATAAATAAAATCTTTTTAAAAATAAATATAACCAGTCTGGGAGCACAATTCTGACTAAAAGTCTGGCCAGAGGGAAACCAGTATATCCTTTACTATGGAATGCTTTTCCTTATCCCCTCACAGCTACCCATTCTTCAAGGTCACACTCAATTCACAGAAAAGTCCACTCTAATATTGGCAAATATCTGTCCCCTACACCCATCAGAAATGCTTTCCTTTCTGTGCTCCATCACATTTCCTATGTGATGTCACACACCTCATATGGTGTGACACTGATAACTATGTTCGTCTCCTTTAACAGACTGTGAGCTCTTTTAAGGCTGTGTCTTACTCATCTTTGTTTTACTCTAAATGCAAACAGTGTTTTGTTCATAACAGGTGCACTGATATTTACAGCATCATTGTTTTTTATCACCTTAAGTCTTGGCCATTGTCATCAGAAGCCACATCTTCCACATGCACCTGGTCACACTCCTGTTAAAAGACAAAACCATATACTACTTCAGTCCAGTGAGCAGAAGTGCCGCTACCACCGTGACATACTGTAAAATCAATGGTGGGGTGATGAGATACCTATGGCCTCTCTTATGGGTGGAAGATCACTCTTACTCCCCTTGCTGCCCAACTTCTTTTAAGACCTAATTCACATTCCACAGTCTTCATGAAATCTTCCTTGACCATCCCCACCCTCATTTACGCTGTTATCTCAATAGTTCATTTTTCCAACAGCTCATGGGTCCTTTACACTGTCAGCTGTGTGTCTATGTTCTATAGTAGACTAAAAGTTCAATTACACTTTAGGCCCTCATGGCACAACCCCATCTAACTTCTCCTTTATACCCCTCTCATCGAGTCCAGTGACCTTACATAGCATGTCCCCAATAAATTCTTGCAGACAAAACAGATATTAGTAGAGTGTGGTATGAAAACAAAGAGTGACTGAAACAGAAATTTATAAATTCAAGCTTGGTACTCAGAACAGGTTGTCTGAGTACCTCTGAGAGGTACTCAGAGGAGGTTGCTGATCTCCTCATGTTATAAAAGTGAGGTGAAATGATTTACCCAAGTGGTAGAGCCTAGGTCTTCTCATCAAATCCGAGGTTCTTTCCACTACGGCCACACTGCTCCTGACGCAAAATGCCACCCACTGCCTATCTGTAAGACGCACTCCTCGGACACCACCCAAGGCAGTGCTGTCATGTCCACAGGCATCAGAATCCTCTGGGGAAATCTTTAAAAGTGCATATTCTTGGGTTCACCCCAGACCTACTTGAATTAGAATTTCTGGGAGTGAAGTCCTAGAATCTTCCTTTTATTTAACAAGGTCCCCAGGTGATTCTTATGCCCCCTAAAGTTAAGAAGCACTGACCTGGGGGGCAGGAACACATTCAGGTCAAATTCTTCACAGAACTTTCAGTCCTGAGTGAGGACTATGTCTAGAAAATCATTACAAATACAATTTGGCAATAATTATTGGCACATAGTAGGTTTTCAGTAAATGTTTGCTGAATAAAAACTCTGATGTCCTAACTTATCAACATGTGAAGTTGAGGAAAGAGATTAAAGCGCCATAGAACTCAGACAAGAGTATTGGAGTTTAGAGCTCTATCAATTTAATTTGTTGGAGAACTGTCTGTTAAGTAGAACTAGGTTATTTTTTTTTTTAGTATTTTATTTTTTTATTTTTAGAGAGAAGGAAAGGGAAGGAGAAAGACTGGGAGAGAAACATCAATGTGTGATTGCTTCTCATGTGTCCCCCACTGGGAACCTGGCCTGCGACCCAGGCATGGGCCCTGACTGGGAATCGAACTGGCGATCCTTTGCTTCACAGGCCCATCCATGCTCAATGCACTGAGCTCCACCATCCAGGGCAGAACTAGGTTGTATTTTAAAAGGAATAGAATTATTTTGTATTTATAAAAAGCTATCTTATTTTACTTCAAAATTTTCACTATTTTTAAAACTAGGTGATATATGTGGTACACACTTTGAAATTCAAAAGGACATGAGGTGACACGTCTGCTCCTTCCTATGTCTGTGTCCCTGCAATGCAGTTCCCTCCCAAGACAGAACAACTGGTCCTACTTCCTTGTGTAGAATAACTGCTTAACTGAGGCCCAAAAATGGGCCGGTAACTTTCCTAACTTGGGACTCACATGCTGGTCTTCTGATTCCCAATTCTGTGTTCTTTCCAGCACACCATGTTTACCTCAAAGGTAAACCCAAATATCAAAGCCAAAAAGTTCCCCAGAAGCTCTGTGTTTCCTGGTTTTCCTGTACCTACCTATAAAATGATTGTGGATATCAAGGCTAACCTACACATTAGCATGTGTAGGCAAATCAGCATGTATAAAATATAATGAGTCACAGAAGTCATTTACAGATCTGACAAATCTAGAGACTCTTTTAAAGGAGGTAAAATCAAAGAACAGCAAAGCACAAATAATCACACCCACCTTATATATTATTTAATATACATGAATAAATTGGAATGGTTTATGTATCAAGTGTTTTGCCCAATGGGTTGAGATTTCCTCTAGAACAAGATCACTTCCACAACAAAAATCAAATTTGGAGCCAATGAAACTGAGAATCAAAACTGGTGGCCCAACCAAGGCATCATTCCTGCAATACTGTACAGATCCACGTGGCCAGCCGGCCTCTCCATACCCCCCAACCACGTTCCTTCTATGTACAATAAGCACAGGGTCAACAGTTATTGAACAAAGGTTTTACCCAAGTACAGAAACAATATTAAATGCTTACCTCTAAGTCATTGAAAAATAGGTGTGTATCAGCCACTTCAAAAATCATTTCTTCCATAGTTAAACCTGAGCCAATCACTACTGTTGGGTCCTGGAAGACAATAAGAGAAAAATTTGCCTGACTTGTTACTCACAGCACTGCTTCTGATCCTTAAATGTTCCAAAATTATTCTGGGTCAAGGCCAAACAACACAGACCCAAAACAGTGCCTCCAATTATTACTGATGCAATTTCATTCACAGTCATAAGAATCTGGAATTGCAAAAAGTTAAAAACCTCAGGACTTTAGTTTCTAGAAAACTAAACCCACTTTAAAAAACACCTTAATTTTTGGGGGAGGAGAAATTCTAACTATAGCTAAAATACTGATATTGTAACACCCATTATCTCCCATTTTCTTCTCTACACACACACACACACACACACACACACACACACACACGGTGTGATACCAGAAGTCAGTTATACAAAAATCTCAACAACCAGGAAATAAGTAAACAAAGGCTGAAGAGTCAAAATATTTGTAGGAAAAGCAATGCGCTTAGCTTTAAAATGAACAACAGAAGCTGTACGCTACTTATTTATTTAGATTAGAGAGAGGGGAAGGGAGGGAGAAAGAGAGAGATGCAGTGATGTCAGAGAGAAGAATCAATCGCTTGCCTCCCACACGTGCCCCAACTGGGGATCAAACCTGAGACCTAGGCATGTGCCTTGACTGGGAATCCAACATCAACCCTTTGATTTGCTAGACGACATCCAACCAACCAACTGAGCCACACCAGTCAGGGTTGTATGCTCTTATTTTATATACCTTATAAACAGCCTAGCTATGTAGCGTATGAGCTTGCCAGTCTATATACTAAAAGTCTGTGGAAATTCTCACAGAAATATTAGTGACAGTAATAACTGGGAATAATAAGAGAGCAAAGGAGAATGATGTTTTTATAAAATGTATTCACAGAAACAGAAAAATAAAAGCCAGAAGGTAATTTAGTGTAGAAATATACAGGCAATAGCTCAAAAATGGCTTATCCCTTTATTAAAACTGATGTTTATATTGGTGACTAAACAAGTTAAATTCTGCTTGATATATTTAAGAAGGTATGTAATCTATTTTACAAAGACAGTTTATATGTTACCTATATTTTGAATTTACATTATCTGGCATAGAAACAGCTAAATGAAGTGCTCAGTTGGGGCTGTTAAAAGTGATTTAAGGGATAACAGATTGGTCCTTGGAATACATAATCCTGAGACTCCACTCTGTTTTGAGAATCATTTCCATACTTCATTTATACAAAATACCACTCTCGAATAACGTCTGCTTTCAGCACTTGCCCCAGGTCTAGTCTCGAGCTTTATCATCAACTCTGCCTCATCGTGTAGCCTGCCTGGTCCAAGCCATTAGGTGAAATTAAAAATGGAAAGTATAAAAGGCCAACAAGGTAAGATGGAAGTAGCAGAGAAAATAATGCCGGTTACCTGCCCATATAGCAGGAAAGGGTGAGTCACAACAAAGAAAGATTCAAATTACCTTTCCATACTTCTGGGCATAGGATCCAGTAAGAAGGGAATGGAAGATGATGATGGTTTCATCCAAGTCCCACAGAAATACCCGCTGAGGGAGGAAAATATAAAAAATGAGTGAACATCTTTTCTAATCACAATGGAATAGAGCAAGAAATCACTAACGAAAAACTGAAAAATTCACGAATACGTAAAAATTAAATAACACAATCTTAAATAACCAAGGATCAAAAAAGAAATCACGAATGAAATTAGAAAATATGTTGAGATGAATGAAAATAAAAACACAGCAAAACAAAATTTATGGAATGCAGCAAAAGCAGTGTGAAGAGGGAAATTCATAGCTGTGAGCACATACCTTAACAAAGAAGTAAGATCTGAATCAATAACCTAACTGTATAACTGAAGGAACTAGAAAAGGCCAGAAGAAGGAAGGAAATAATAAAAGTTAGAATGGCAATAAATTAAGCACAGACTAGAAAAATAATAGAGAAAAATCAATAAACTAAAAGTTGGTTTTTTGAAAAGATCTATAAAATTGACAACTTGTAGCTAGACTGACTAAGGGAAGAAGATTGAAATTACTAAAATCAGAAATGAACGCTATGACTGATTTTACAGAAATAAAAAGGATTATAGGAGAATATTATAAACAGCTGTACCTCAACAAATAACCTGGATGAAATGAACAAATCTCTAGAAATACACAAAGTGAAAAACTGACTCAAGAAGTAAAATTCTGAATAGACTCTTAATTGATAAGGTGATTGGATCAGTAATCAAAAATATCCCAAGAAAGAAAAGCCTAGGACCAGATGGCTACAGTAGTAAATTATACCAAATATTTAAAGAGGCATTAACAGCAATCCTTCTTAAGCTCTTCCAAAAAGCTGAAGGAGGGAACACTTCTTGACCCACTCTATGAAACCAGCATTACCTTGATACCAGTCAGATAAAGACACTACAAAGGAAAAAAAAAAAAGAAACCTGTAAACCAACATACTTATGAGTATCAATGCAACCATCCTCAACAAAATATAGCAAATGAAATCTAGCAGCACTTGATTATATATCATGACCAAGTGGGATATGTTTCCAGGTTGTAAGGATGGATCAACATACAAAAGTGAATTAATGTAGTAACAGAGCACATTAATAGAACAGAGGGGGAAAATCCACATGATCTACTCACATGGAAAAAGCACCTGACAAACTTCAACGCACTTTTATGATAAAAAACCAATAAACTAGAAGTATAAGGGAACTTCTTCAACATAATAAAAGCCATATGTGAAAAACTCACAGCTAACATCATACTCAGTGGTCACAGACTTTACCTCTGTGATTAGGAGTAAGAAAAGCATGTCTGCTTACACCACTTCTACTCGACATAGTACTAAAAAGTCTAGTCAGAATAATTAGGCAAGAAAAAGAAAAAAGGTACCCCCCAATGGGAAAGGAAGAAGTAAAGTGATCTCTGTAGATGACATGATCTTCTGTATAGAAAATACTAAAGAATACACAATAAATTTGTTAGAGCTAATAAATGAATTCAGAAATATGTTATGTTTTGATACACTTGCAATGAATAATCCAAACAGGAATTAAAAAAAGATTCCATTTATAATAGCATCAAAAATAAAATACTTACTAATAAATCTGAGGAGATGAAAGACTTATACATGGAAAACTATAAAACATGCCAAAGGAAATGAAAGACAGACCTAAATAAATGACAAGACATCCCATGTTCATGAATGGAAGACTTAACACTGTTAGGATGATAATACTACCCAAAGCAATCTAAAATATCAATGCAACTTCTATCAAAATTCCAATACTGTTTTTTAAAGAAATAGAAAACCTCATTCTAAAATTCATATGGACTCTCAAGGGTTCCAAAATAGCCAAAATAACCTTGAAAACAAACCAAGTTCCAAGTCTCATACTTCCTGATTTCAAAGCTACAGTAACCAAAACAATGTGGTACTAGCATAAGAACAGACACATACACCAATGAAATAGAAGACAGAGACCAGAAATAAACCTTGACAAATACTGTTGATTTCTCTTTGACAAGGAAATGAAGGGGGAAATGGGGCAAAAATTCTTTCCAACAACAGGTGCTGGGAAATATTAGATATCCATGTGCAAAAGAATAAAATTAGAGCTTTAAAGTACATACAAAAATTAACTCAATATGGATCAATGACCTAAATGCAAGAGCCAAAACAATAAAACTCTTAGGAGAAAACATAGATATGTTCAGAATCTTGTATTCTTAGGTATGATACCAAAAGAACAAGAAATAAAATAAGAAAAAACTTCATCAAAACGTTAAACTTTTGTGCATCATATATCTGATAAGGGATTAATACCCAGAATATATAATGAATTCCTAAAACTCAATAAAAAACACCCCAAATAAAAAATGGGCAAGGGATCTGAACAGACATTTTTGTAAAGGAAATAAACAAATGGCTGATAAACACATGAAAAGACAGTTAATATCATTAATCATTAAGGAAATGCAAATCAAAACTACAATGAGATACCATTTCCCACCTGTTAGGATGCCTATTATCAAAAAAATATGGGAACTCAGTGTTGCTAAGGATGTGGAGAAACAGAAACCCTCATACACAGCTGATGGGGATTGAAAATGGTGTAGCCACCATGGAAAACATTTTGGTGGTTCCTCAAAAAGTTGACCATAGAATTACAATATGATCCAGCAATTCTACTCCTAGGTCTACCCCAAAAAATGGAAAAGAGGGGGTCAAAGAGATAACTGTATAGCAATGTTCATAGCAGCATTATTTACAATAGCTCAATGGTGAAAAAACCCAAAGTGTCCATCAACAGATGCATGGATAAGCAAAGTGTGGTATATACATAATACTACAATGAAATGTTATTCAGCCATAACAAGGAACAAAGTTCTTATGCTTGCTACAACATGGATGGACCTTAAAATCATGTTAAGTGAAATAAGCCTGGCATAAAAGAATAGAACTGCATGATCCCACTTTCATGAAACATCTAGAACAGGCCAATTCAAAGAGAAAAAAAGTAGAACAAAGATTATAGGGGTCAGTGGGGGAAAGAATAGGGAGTTTATTGCTTAACAGGTGCAAAGTTTTTAGGATCATGGAAATAGTGGTAACAATTAAAAAACATTGTGAAAATATTTAATGTCACTAACTTGCACTTAAAATAGTAAATACTATGTTATGTACATTTTACCACAATTTTCAAAATTGAAACTGAGTTCTCTCTGTTTTTCTAAAAAGATGTATTAGATTTTTTCCTTCTTCCCTTCCCCTCCCCTCCAAGAACTCAAAGGAAGAGTCTCTAAATTCAGCTTGAATTTACCTACACCTTCAGAATACCTATCAATGTACCTGTTTTTAAATACAGCTTTCCCCCTTATTAAATTATATTAAATTGGAAAAAAGCAAAAGGATTAACATCAAAACTTTACTATTATTAGTAGTTTATATGAGTTCCTACTCTTTTTAATAACAAAGCCAAATATATGCCCATAGTACATTCTTACAGTACTTAACCACAGAATAAATACATGTAAATCTCATTAATAAGTTACCAGATCTGGTTGCACATTCACAGAAACTTGACCTAAAGCACTCTTAGACTCTCATTTTACTCTGAGATTTTTAAATGGCGATTTTTGTATGACTTTACTTATGACACCCCCTGCTTTCTGATTATGATGCACTGTTCTTTCTGTTCTCCTCTCAATATAGAGACCAGTTTATTCTTTCCTTTATAGAGTTACTGGTTCCTTAAATTCAGAAAAGCTTTTTTGATGCTTTTGGTAAAAGTATCTGAAGTGAGATGGGAAGTTATGGGCATGGAGAAATGTGGTTTTTTTTACACTTCTCTTTTCACTTGGCCAACTCAATTTCTCTCACCCAGGAATGAAAGGGTACACAACGTAGAGCCACATTATCCCATGAGTTTCAGATATATGTTTGGTAAACTTAAGAAATGAGGAAAAAAACAAAGCCGATAACTTAAAATGAGGTTCTTCCCATACTTCCAATTCACTATCCTGGGAAGAGCTGGCATCAGCTTTCCTCTTGCCCCGGTTCTTTCCAGTCATGTTCTTCCTGGACTGGTCATCAGCATCTTTACTTGGTGTAGTCTGGGGCAAAGATGGGCTTGTAGAAGGGTCTCCTAGAAAGGAAAAACAAGACATTTATTGCCAAAAGTTGTAAGAACCAAAGCATGAAGGGGGTCAGCAGGTTTTCTGCCCTTCAGAATCATATTGCAAAGATAAAAAATGAAAAAAGTAAAGTAATCTAAGTAATTTGGGAATGGAAAAATGGGTATTGAGCATCAAAATCTCCTAACATTGCTAATAGAGTTATAACTAGAATTTATATGCCTGCCTCCCAATGAAAGAACTCATCTATGAAATTATTTTCAAAAAACAAAACAAAACAACAAAAAACACACAAAAAACTGACCCTGATCAAGCTTCTAGATCAGAGTTTCTCAACTTGGCACAATTAACATTTTTGAGCCTAATAATTTTTGTTGGGAGTGTGCTGTCCTGTCATTGTAGGATGTCTGGAGCATCCCTGGCCCCTACATTCTGTATCCCAGTAGCACTCCGTCCCAGTATGACAGCCAAAAATGTTTCATACATTGTCAAATGTCAAAGGAGGGGTGCACAGTACAATACTGCGTCTAATTAAAAAAGACTGCTCTAGATCCATTTACTTACAATAACATACAAAAGATGGCAGGATATGTTAAACTACTCTAGAAGAATATAATAAACAAGAGTTCCTGACAAGATCCAGGCACGGGTAGACAAGCTTCATCTCCTTACACAACTACAAAAATTACAACTAGATCTCAAAGCAAATAACTCAGAACTGTCAGAAAACTGAACTGTATGGAAGTTTGACAACCCAGGATTTAAAGAAACCACATTCATCAGACAAGTAGGAGGGGCAGAGACACGGAGATGGAGCAGAGAAGCAAGGAGACACGGTGTGGCGTGAAGAGGCGGTAGCACAGCATAGGCAGCCCCACATTCATGTGTGGTAGATAAAAATCAGGAGGGATACCTTAGGAGCATGTGATCCCAGCTCCAGACCACTCCACACAGCCCAGGGTTCCAGTGCTGGGAAGATAAATGCCCATAACTTCTGGTTATAAAAACCAGTGGGGGTTGGGGCAGCAGAGGGAACTGCTGGATCTTCAGGAAACTTCACTTAAAGGGCCTGCAGTCTTAAAATGTATGCAAACCCACCCATTCTGGGATTCACAACAAGTGGAAGGGTGCCAGCTGCATATAGGAAGTGGGTAAAGTGACTAGAAATGGGGTGAATGCTGGGCAAACCCCCAGAAGCAAGGCAGCAGTACAGTCCCCCCTCTGAGTCCCCCCTCACACAGAGCCACAAAGTGGTGAAGTGGGTTGCTCACCCTGAAGGTACCTAAGGCTCCACCCCACACAATTACAGGTACCTTTTACAGGGAGTCAAAGCTGCTCTACCTAATACACAGAAACAAACACAGGGAGGCTGCCAAATTGAAGACACAAAGAAATATAGCCTAAGTGAAAGAATAGAACAAAACCCCAGAAAAGGAACTAATAAACAAAATGGAGATAGCCAACGTATCGGATGCAGAGTTCACAAAATTGGTACTTGAGATGCTCAAAAAACTCACTGAGTACAGCAACAGCACAAAGGAAGAAATGAAGGTTACACTAAGTTGAAATAAAGGAAAATCTATAGGGAACCAACAGTGAAGGGAAAGAAGCCAGGATTCAAATCAATGGTTTGAAACATAAAGAAGAAATAAACATTCAGCCAGAACAGAACGAAGAAACAAGAATTCAAAAAAATTGAATTATTGAAAAAAATTGAAAGAGAGGCTTAGGAACCTCTGGGATAACTTTAAACGTTCCAACATCTGAATCATAGGGGTACCAGAAGAAGAAGAACAGCAAGAAACTGAAAACTTACTTGAAAAAATTAAGGAAAGAAAAATTCCATAATTTGGCAAAGGAAATAGACATACAAGTCCAGGAAGCACAGAAAGTCCCAAACAAGTTGGACCCGAAGAGAACCATACTAAAATACATTATAATTTAAATGCCAAAAGTTAAAAATAGAAAATCTTAAAAGCAGCAAGAGAAAATCAGAGAGTTGCCTACAAAGGAGTTCCCTTAAGACTATCACCAAATTTCTCAAAAGAAACTTTGCAGGCAAGAAGGGACTGTCAAGAGGTATTCAAAGTGATGAAAAGCAAGGACCGACATCCAAGATTACTCTATTTGGCAAAGCTTTCACTTAGAATGGAAGGACAGACAAAGTTTGACAATGTCGGACATCCATCTGACAATGGATGATGGATACAAAAGGATTCACTAGACTACTCTGACCACACAAGGTAAAACTAAAGTTCATCATCATCAAGCCATTATTACATGAACAGTTAAAGGGACTTATTTAAAAAAAAGATCAAAACTATGAATGTTAAAAAGGCAATAAATTCACATCAATGACTGAATTTAAAAACAAAACAAAACTAAGGAAACAACCAGGACAGAAGCAGAATCAGCTGGGAAGGGGAAGGGGGAAAACAGGAGAAAAGGTGCAGGGGATTAAAAAGCACAATGATAGGTACAAAAATAGTGAGGGGGATGTTAAGAATAGCATAGGAAATGGAAAAGCAAAAATAACTTATATGCACAGGCCATGGACATGAACTAAGGGAGCGGGGGGGGTGGGGTGGGAGGGTATTGCTGGAGGGAAGGAGGAGTACTGGGCAGAAGGGCGCAAAGGGGAAAAAAGTGGAACAACTATAATAACATAATCAATAAAATATGCTTAAAAATATAATGAACAAAAATCAGGGAAATGGTATGAGATTAAACAATATAGTTCCTTCAACAAATAAAGTACATAGATGAATAAAACAGAAATAGAAGAATTTATAGGTTAAAAGAGGTGAAATACATATCTGCCAATCACAGTGTATAGACCTGGCTTGGTTCCTAATTTAAACAAAGTGTAAAAAGAAAAACAAAACTCCTAATATTTATGAGAAAACTGGAAATATGAATAACTCTTGGTACTTTATAATATTAAGAAATTATTGTTGAATTATTTTAGGTGGGATAATGGAATTGTGATCATGTTGATTACTTATCTTTTATAAATACGATGCTTAGAATTTGGGAAAGGAACTGGATGAAGTACAGTTGAAACAAGAACTCCCTGAGAGTTAATTACTGACAATGGATGATGGATACATAAGGATTCACTAGACTACTCTGACAGCTTCTATGCTTGAAATTCTCCATTATTAAAAAGTTAAAAGTATTATGAAGAACAAAGATATTTAGAGATATGAATTCAAAACTAAAGCACAAGTATATATAGTTATTTCAAAGTAATTTAAGTTAGAAGTGACCATCCGTATGTCCATTGCCTAGAAGACTGGTAAAAAGCAAGATGCACAGAAAACTGCTTTAGCTGATGTCGAGCACTGCTTTGGAAAATGCATCAATTGTAGTAACAATATTCCTCTAGTCATATAATGTGATAGCAAACCATCAAATTTTCATGAAAAACAAATAAATAAAAATTATATCCATGTGTTTATTGAATGTGTACATAAAACCTTTAGGTCAGTTTTTTTTTTTTTAACCCGAGCATCATAATTCATCAATACATTTCAAAGCTAAATGTACAGGTCTAAATTTGTAGGTTAAATGTCATGTTCTTCTTTAGCTTTCCTGGAATCTCAAAGGGATCCATGACACAGAAAAAGTTAAGAACTACTATTCTGAGGCTGGGCAAAAGTCCAAAATATTGAGACTAAAACTGGAGTCCTCCAATTTTTATAAAATGTGCCATGATTCAGAAGTTCCTGGGGACAAACATGTTCAAGTCATTGGGAGGGCAGAGTAGGAGTCCTAAAAACAGTCTTTTCATGCTTGGTACTTTCCTGTTTTCTGAGGTATTACACTCAACCTGCCAACGACTCATCACGGTCTGGTTCCAACGTCTGAATACTCCTGAGGGGGAAAGCCAGTAGCTCAGGTACTGTAACTTAGATCAGAACAAAATAATCGTCTCCATCGCCTGTTAGATGAAGTGCATTAAGCCAAAGTTTTTAGGGCTGTGGTGCTTACCAGAGGCAAGTCTCTGTGCTGCAGGCGCAGGTACCATGACACTAGGCTTCTCTGTCTGGTATGTGGTCGCTGCTAACGTGGTATTCTCAGCATCACTGTTAGTCTGGCCTGTGACTCCAAAGCTGGAGCTGGGGTAGCAGGCCTGGTACTGACTCTGACCAAGGATAGTATAGGTGGGATAGTCCTATAGTCCAAAGAGGTTAAGGGAGAAAAACAAGTCTTTTAGAAAAAGCAAAGTATTAATTTCAATATGAGACTTTCATGTCCCTCTTATTCAGGATTATTTTCCTAAAACATTAATCTGATTTCTCATTTACCTATCCGTATCTTCCACCTAAACCACTGACTTTCAAAATGAGCTCTGATGGAAAGCTCAGAGTCCAGAGGAGATGCCTCGAGGCTGTCTGGGGTAAGGGCAAGGCTGAGAGGGAAAGGTCCCGCGGGCTGTACACAATGTCCATTTTCCTACTACAATAGCTTTTTTCTTTCATTCTACTTTTATGTACTAAATTTTTAGGCAAATATCTGCATGGAATTCTCAAGGGAGGATCTCTTTAAGTTTATAAAAACACCACACTAGATGGTTGTGCTTCTAAGGATAGGAGAACTTAAACCAAAAAAATAAAATCACATATCCTATATTAAAGTTTCCTAGTTTAAAAACTGAGTATCTTTCTTTCTAAAATAATTGAGTTTTCTTTAAAATATTCAAAGACGCCCTGCCCAGGTGGCTCAGTTGGTTGGAGCATTGTCCTATACACCAAAAGGGTGCAGGTTTAATTCCCAATCAGGGCACATACCTAGATTGTGGGTTCAATCCCCAGTGGGGGCGCATAAGAGAAGCAACATATCTATGTTTCTCTCTTTCTCTGAAAATCAGTAAACATATCCTTAGGTAAGGATTAAAACAAAACATTCACAAAGAATTTTTGGTGGTTTAACAAGCACATATGGGTCAAAACTTACCAAACTGTACAATTTAAATCTGTACAGTTTACTGAATGTCAGTTACACCTTAATAAGGCTGTTTTAAAAAGGGGTATAATGTAATGCACAGCTCAAAAACACACCTTAAAAAATTCCATTGACATTGATCTTAGTGATAAGTAGGAAGATGCTAACTGATCAAGACCAATTATTTATAGAGTATATAAGCATCTCCCATAAGTGTGTGTATGTCTGTACATGGGTGGGAAGAGAGAATATTAAAGAAAAAATAATCATACTAGCTATAGTTATTCAAGGGAGTTACAATTTTAGCAGGAGCTAAGACAAAAACATTTCCGACAAATTGGCAATAAATTGTATGTCAAATGAGTGAAATACAGAGGAAGACAACTATCACTGAAGACTGTGATAGGGAGCTTTCTGAGATAAATAGCAGAAGAGATAAACACAAGAATAGGCTCTGAAAAGGTTTTATTAAGGGGCCAGAGATGTTCAGTCTGACTAAAAGGATCTCTATATAATTTGGATTCTTTAGACAATGGGGGTTAGCCTATGTGGGGGCAGGAAATGGGGATTATCAAATTCAAACCAACAAATAAAAATACAAAAGGATAATGAGCAGGTGAGTATAGAATAAAATGTGGCATTTAGAGGGAATTAATCAGATGTTTTAGAAAATGAATAGACACAGCAAAAAAATAGGAGATGAGATAAATGTCTAGGTTTATTTAAAAATGGCCTCGATAAAAATTGAGACATGACAGAGAAAAGTGGTTTTATTGTTAAAGAACAAGGAAACAGAAGAAAGGGCTGAATGAAAGGTTGGGTTTAGATATGGTGAACTTAAGGAAATAGCAGGGCATTAAAGAAAATATGTCCACCAATCAGCAGGAAGCCTCAGATACCACAGGTTACGAACAGACTCTATTTCAGAGGTAGTAAATGGATATTGTGAATGTGGTTAAACATTGCTGAGGAGGAAAAGCATGTAGAAAACTAAATGGAAACTGTCTATGACAGAAGACAGGACCCCCCCCCCAAAAAAAAAGCCAAGAAAAGGGAGAGAGATATCCTGAAGAGTGCCAGGTACACAGCAGGAATTCAATAAATATTTCTGGACTAAAAGAGCACAAACGCAGGAACATAAAAAAAAAAAAGAACCAGAATAGCCGTATGTTAATAACAACCAGAAAAAAAAAGATCCATGGATATAATGGTTGATAATATTAATTGCTGCAGAGAAACAACAAATAAAAATATTATGACAAAAGCACTAAAACATTATCAGTGAGCTAAGCATAAAATGTTAATATAACAATGAACAAAACCACACCAGGAATGGGTGGCTAGATTTAAAAAAGTAGAAGCAATATTAATTCATTCCACAAGTATTTATTATGTGCCTTGAAAATGAGTGCCAGTCATTTTTATGAACTGTGGGAATATGTAAGTGAGCAAAATACAAACAAATTCTCTACCCTTGGAGCTTACATTCTTGAAGGGGTGGGGTAGGAGGTAGAGATACACAGTAGATAAAGGGAGCAGATAGAACTGTATCGTTGACAGCATGAGAGAAACTGGAAGGTAGCCTGAGAAACCATCTGGGGTGCTGGTTCTCAGAGCATTCAGAGAAGGGTCTCTCTAGCCCATGCAGATTGTTTTTTAGATCGGCAAACTGACCACGAAAAGAGGAGAGGAAGAGCTAGCTAGATGAACAAAAGCACCATACCTGGTTTGAAATGCTGGAAACTGCTGCTGCTGGAATATTGGCAATTGTAGATGAAGTGGATATCAGGCTGGCATTTGTGCTTGAAGCTACAGGATTGAGAGTGTTGAGATATTAAAGTAAAATATTACTGTACATAATATTGTACATATTATTTTACATAATATTGAGATATTATGTAAAATGCCAGAAGTAATAAAAAATATACTGTTTCTTAAACAAACAGATCTATGAGGATATAAAGACAATCAGCAAAGGAAACAAATACTGATTTTGCTCTTTAACATGCTTTACTGTGATTCAGAGTTGATTAGATAACTGCTCAAACATTTTTCCGTTTCGACTTGAGTCTCCGACTATTCCTACTCAAGTCCTAGAAGGATATAGACACCACACACAGGTTCATACTAATGTTGCCAATAAATCGGAATGCAGTTCCATCTTCTCCAGCAGTTGACAAATTGACTCACCTGCAATGTGGCCTAGTGACAATCAATAGAAGACACAAGAGCTCTGGTAAATCCATATGTAAATGCTACACTACAGTATTTATTGTCACTTGCCCCGAACTATGCCTTTCCTGAAGGGACATAATTACTTTGAGAAAGAGAGATGGTCCTCCAAATTCTAAAGTACCTGGAGTTGCATCTTTGACACTACTCAAGTAATGCACTATAATGAATTATTAATGTGGATCAACGAACACCATGATCTGGCATTTAATGATTTTACCAATGAGCCTGGAAAAACTCCAGAAATACTAAATATTATTCTGGCCAAGTAAAAATATACCCTGTAAGTTAATTAGGCTGCCTATCTTGAGATAAGGAATTTGGGTTAAGTTTCTCATGCCCTTCTAAGAACCACAGATTCCACTAGGGTTTTAATCAAATCCTAAGTGACAAGTATTTGCCACAGAGACCATTTTCCAGGTGAACAATAACCGAGATTGAGGTCTTAAATCCCTCCCACTCACTTATAAGCATATTTAGACATGGTTCCCACTGCAGCCACAAACACCACAGGGGTTCAGCATCGGGTAGACCTGACTATGTTAGTGCCTAGCCCATTAGCAACTAAGTCCTCTAGAGGGGACGTTAATAGGAAATCTTAACTAAGGTTTCCTAAGAAATAGGGCAGATGAACGATGCAGTAGAAACTTGGGAGAACTGGTCAAAATCAGAGGAAATTTTTTATCCCTTTCAAGAGAACTCTGCTTAGAAGAAAGTGTAGAAGAGATTAAGGTAAATCAGATATAAGGAACAGTTACTGCTGCAACACCAGTTTTCAGATGAAGAACCTGGGACAAAAAAGAGTTAATATATCCATAGTCATGGAGCTAATAACTCCTACTGATCTATATCTAAAGGCTATTATCTCTCTAAATGCCAATGGCATAGAAATTGTTTTTGGATAAGTCTCCACTCCTGCTTTAACAATGGAGCTGTGAAATCACAGAATGACAATTGATCTGAGACCCATGCCCCAGTAGAGGTTCACCTAACAGCCAACACATGGAGATCTCTGATCAATGACTATGGTTACAGAACTGTGAGAGGCACAGCTGAATTAAGTAACACTGCCCCAAAGCTGGAGGTTTGATGGTTCATAAAAGTTGTTGCAAGATTTAGCTTCTGCTCACCCCTTTGCCTGGATTGTTCTCCCTGGCCTGTCCCTCTCATCCTCCCCGCTCAGTGACGGCTCCTCCTTCTCAGAGACTCTCTCTGACCCCTCCATAAAAACTACCTCAGTTTACTGTTTTCCCAATAATAGAAATCTCTTCTTTATTCCTTTCAGAGTAATTTTCAAGATCTGTTTATTTATTTACTTGCTTATTTTCTATCTCCTCTATTAGTGTGTAAATTCCATGAAGGCTTAATCTTAATATCTCACTCATTATCTCTAATATCTAGCAAAAGCGCCTGGCCTACAGGTGAGGCTCAATAAATACTTATGAGATTCTTCTAGATCTTGTATACATGTATAACTTTGAAAATTCACATATGGCATTCAAGGTCATCAAAAACAAGGAAAGTCCGAAAAACTGCACAGTCAAGAGGAAAATAAGGAGGCATGACAACTGAATGAAATGTGGTATCATGGATGGGATTCTGGAAAGAAAAAGAACATGAGGTGAAAAACTAAGGAAATCTGAATAAACTATGGATTAGTTAATAATCATGTACCAATATTGGTTCATTAATTGTTTCAAATATTCCATTCTGATGTAAGATGTTAGTAATAGGGGAAACTGTGTGCAAAGTGGGGAGATATATATAACTCAATACCATGTGCTCAATTTTTAAAAGAAATCTAAAACTATTCTAAAAAATAAAGTCTATTAAAAAACAATCTGGTCATTGAAAGACTATTGTATATTACCAACAACATCAGAGCCCAAACACATTCATTAAAAGACTGAATTAAAATTAATTTTGAAATTTCTGTAATTAACTTTGCCATTTGAATATTAACTATTTAAACCATCTCAACTAAAGAAAATTACCAGAGATTGGGACACATACAGATGATATAGGAAAAGACTGATATGATGGGTAAGGGAATATTGCTGTTTTGACCACTTAAAAAAAATCAATACATGCTCCTTGTTTTTATTCTATGGAATGACTGGGTAGTTACACACATGGGGAGGAAGAAGCCCTGGACAGGTAACATTAATTTTCCATGCTAAAGAAAATAAAAAGTGGGGGTGAGGAAAGTGAGTGGAGAACCCAAGTAATTTAAATGTGCCGATAACACCCATATTTTATTTTAGCCAATCGTTTCAACTTGTTTTCTACCATTTTTTCCTTCAAACTAAGTGGCAAAAACAAAAACCAATTAACTAATGGTAAACTCCTTTTTTTATTAAAAAAATTTTTCAATTACAGTTGACATTCAATTTGGTGAACTTCTGCCTTAAAATCTCTGCCAATGTTCTAATGAACAATACAATGGGCCAACAGGTTAACCAGGAAAAGGGAAGAAAATGAATTCAGATATTTGTCAAAACAGGTTCTTAATTATGGGAGGGTTGATAGTGATATCATGAGTTTAATATTAAAAATCATAAATTTTCAATCACAAGTCACTCATACTTTGGGGTCAGACTGCCCAGATAACATCGTGACTTAATTATTAATTTTGACCTTAGACAAGTCACTTTATGTTTTATGTTCCCCTTCTTTAACTGAAATAAATAATAGTACTTCCCTCTTGGTGTGTTGTCAAGTACATAAGTAACACCTATGTATTGCTTATAACAATGCTAAGAACATAGTAAGCACTTAATAAACACCAGCAATAACCATTATTAGCAAAAGATGAGGAAACCAGGTTAATCTATCAAAAGGGAAAAATGTATTAACAACCAAGTCAGGATAGTGGTCAACAGAGTTTAAAATATATTTTCATGACTTTTTTAAAGCAATGAGTTCCAAAAGACCTTCAAAAGGTGGTTCCTCTTGTTTTACAAGGAGGGAGAAGTAAGCATAGATATTAAGTTCTTCAAATTCAAGATACAATGACAGAAAAGTGGTGGTTCTCCACCTTAGAAAAAGGTTATTAATCCAAAAAAAGAGAATCCACTGCTTTTCTCTCATGACCTAGATGTAGTCGACCCAGGTACAGACATGAGGGATGGATCTCCGTTAGAGGGACTTGGCAACCAGATTTGCCTGTAGTTGGACCCAAAAGGCCTACCAACCTAGAGAAATACTTTATAAAAATGAAACGGGGTAGAGGGCAAGACAGACAAGGTCATGCTCTTTGAGGTTTTTTCACTCCTGGGTTGTTCTCATTTTAGAAAGAAGGAAGGGTAAGGGGACAAACATGGAAAGAAAGGAAAATAAGTAAGAGGAGACTCGATAAACAACAGGAAGTAAAGGTGGCTCAGAGCAGTGTCTTAGAATGTGACCAGTTCTGTTCTCAATGGACCACGCAGAAGTAATTCGAAACCATTTAACTGAAAACAAATGAGAAGGGAGATAGATTTCAGTAGTTGAAAATCAAAATACTTTGTTTAATATAATCTATATTGAACACTTTTAATCGCCAAAGTTTGTATCTTAAGAGTACATCAGTCCAGGTTTTGCTGTCCAGCCCTCATCCCTTGGGCAACTGTTTTATAACTAATCAAACTTAACAGTTGGGATAATCAGGAGAAAGGAGGCAGATGAGAAGCCAGGTACATGGACATTAATTCCCAATCTGGATGGATGATAAACTGCACTGGATTTAGAAAGGTTGGGTATTAATTCCACGGTGCCTTTTGAGTTTCTTGGTCTTCACTCCTAATAGTCCTGTCATACTTCTAACCTTTTAGAGAAAGAACTTGGGAAGGCAGAGATGTTTAGAGTTCAAGCTTTAACGCTATGCTTTTCATCATGAAATAGAAACAAGACAACTTTGTGAGCAAAAAAACGCTCTCCCAAGAAGTGGGAAACAGAGGCAGAGGTATGACAAAACCACAGCAGAAAAGCAGCACAGGTCTTCCAGAGCAGCACTCGTCTCACACTCTACTCTATTTGGACTTCGTATAAAAGAAGTCAGTCAAGTTCTAACCCATGGGGTCTTCTGCTCCTTTATAGGACAAAATGCCACTGAGAACAGACAGGTTTTCTGAACACCAAACATGCAAAAGGAAAGGCTTCAATTCTACTAAGCAGTTCACATTCAAATGTTAAACTACTTACAAACCACACTCGCATGTTCTGGTTTGCCTATCACGAAAAGCATGCACAAATGCACATATCACCCCTTCTATTTTAGAAGACAAAGCTCCTATTACCCAATTTGTCAGGAGATACAGGAGGATTAAAAACAAAACCCAACAACAATAAAAAAAACATACACATCCATGCCTATTTACCTTGAATGGGGTAAGAATAATGTGCTGGGCTTGGCTGGCTTGTGGTTAACCCTGTAGTGCAGGTAAGAACACTGTGTTGACTTGGAGATGGAGTCTGAATTAAACCACTTTCAGGTTTCATACCTGGCCACAATGCACCTGAATCAGATAAATTGGACCAATTACAACAATACACTGGGACTGAGGAGCATGGTTATGCTTTCAAATATCAGCCAGTAGTTTAAAATCTAAATCTTAAAAGAAAAACAAATTTGCTTGTAAGAGAATATTATTGATTCTCTCACTTATGTTCCACAAGCAAATACAATTTCAAAGAGCTGGGGAGCGGGGCCACAGAAACAAAAATGTTGTCAAAACCCCAATAGTGAGAGAGAGAGAGAGAGGTATATATATATACTCATTTCAGTAGTTGGGGGAAATTGACCAGGGTTCAAAAAAGAGCTTCTGACACCCAACCAGAGTATCTGTTGTAAAGAGTGCCTATGTTCATGTACAGCAATAAATCACTTATCTGCACTGTCAAAGTGGTAGACATTCCACGTAAGTTTAAAATTCACTTACCCATGCAACAAGCACCAACTCTTTCTAAAATGTATTAAATACTTCTCTCCTTTCTTAAGCTGGTTATTTTGTTACCTTTATTTCTTCTGATTAAGAAAGACATACCTGCTTATTTATATAAATTGAAAACATTACAGAAATATGTAACTTAGAAAAAACAAAGTCATACATAATCCCATCATCCAGAGTTAACCACTATCAAGTTTCTGTAAGAATCACTCAGGTTTCTTCTATAGATTTACTACTGTTTTTTCTTATTTTTAATAAAAATTAAAAATATATTATACACACTTCACAATTGGCTTTTCCATATACCTCTAAGAGACATATTTCCATGTCAGAACATATAAATTTATTTCATACTGATAGACATCATAGTTGTTTATTTTTACTTTATTTTATCACAATGCTCCTGAGTGACAATCTTTCTAAAATATATTTATATTCTTTCCTGCCTTCTTAGCAGGAAAAAAACAGAGAGCATACCTTTAGACTTTCTCACAATTATTGCCAGAAGATCATATTCTGCTGTGCTATATGTATTACAGAAACAGAGGCTACTGTGATGTGTGAAGACATTTGCTTAGTACTAAATAGAACTCAATTACGTGCTATGATTTTTAGATTCTTGTACCACTGTGTCTTTTCTCTGTGATCTGTCACTTCTTGATCATCTCCCACCTCTGGTTGTATCTATCTCCCTTCTCATTTGTAGTAAACTAGGAAGTCATAGACAAAGCTTTGCTTCTACATGACAGCCTAAGGATGCCCTTATGAGTGAATAGCTTTTGTGATAATTTTGCCTACAGAAAATCTATTTATTTTAAAAAACACAAAACTTTACTAGCTGGTTGTTCACTGTGTTCTGAATAGCTACGGTTGCTGGATCAGTGTAGTTGAAACTGATCATTTGTTTCAAGAAGTGTGTCAATCACATTCCAGATAAGAAGTCAATACCAGCATCAGCGGCAGCTTCAAATTCAACATTATGTCATTTCGTTTACTTCTAATATGATAAGGAATTTATAGAAACATGATGCTTTAATAATAAGAACCTCTGCTTCACCAGGGCACTGAGATATCTTAATATAACTCAGACCTGTAAAATTTGTCAAAAAAGTAAATATAAGAATAGTAAAGGGAGACGTAAACATTTTTAAAAGCCTGACAATGGGACATGACTTATCCTAGTTATAAATTTTACTGTAAGAATCGTAAAGGGAGATGTGAAAATTTTTAAAAGGGTGACAATGGGACATGGTAACTGCCTTGATTCAAAATCAAAGCGTTAAAAGAAAAAAAGCCATATTCTTTTCTTACCTATTAAACACACAAAATGACCTATTTGAGACTGAGGAACATCAACATCTCTGGCATGAATAAGGAGGATTGCCCCGCCACCACTGGCCCCAGACACAATCACAGTTCATGATCATTTAAAAATCTCGCCCAGGTTAGACAGAGCCAAAGTTCTTACTATATCTGATTTTCGTCAATTAAAAGGTATTTGAGAATGTTATTCTTTAAATATTTACAATGTAAAATCTGAATATTAATGCCATCATTCAGGGTGGTATTACAACTTTTAGTAAACAAATTTATTTCAATGTCATAAAAACTTTCAGATTCAACTGTAATCAATGTGATTTTTTTCTGAATAGGTTCTGAACCAGAGGTGTTGGATTTGTGAACATGTTTATTACTACACTGTACTAAAATGCCACCTTAGTATTAAAAATATTAACTGAGACTAGTTTTGCTAGTCTATTTAGTATTGTTTTAAAGTTTCTAAATGTAAAGGGTCTATAAACTGGACCTTTATATACGGTCAAAAATTAAGGCAAAATGTCAAAGACAAGTAGGGAAATAGGTAGTTTTGAATGTGTTTGGCCAGAGACATGAAGTAAACATTTAACATATAATTATTTTATGAAGACTAGAGAAATAAAAGATAACATGGATACTGCCCCCAGTGTTACTGTAGCCCTGCTCTTTAATAAGCATCTTCTTTAAAACTATCTTTCCAAGAACCCCAAGTAATACATGGTATAATTTTTCTGTAGAGCATGACTTATTGCCCATAGCAAACGATGAAACCAAACCGTTTTCCTGACTACTACCAGTCCACTGCTCTATGTCTACAACTACAAAGCTTCTTAAGTAATTTCATGTACAGAAAGTCTTATATGGAGCAACACTTGGTCTAACTAACGATGGGTAAGAAAGTCTGTCTCTGAGTGCTTTCCTCCTGCTGCCCCACATGGGGGTCTTACTGTAAACTTTACCCACATCTCTGAGCACAAGTATGTTTCACTATGGGTTAGTCAACAACCAAACTAACCCGAACAGTTCAGTTTATAGTAACACATATCAGAGTAGTGGATCTTTAGAGATTAGTTTGGTTAGGGATTGAGGTACATGTTAATGCTAGAAAAAAAACACATGGAAGAACAGCTTGGTTCATTGATTTAATAGCTGACTGGTATGAACCAGTATAAATACTAAGTAATTTACTCTGATTACTTATCCTAGTTATAAAGTAAGTAGATGTATATTATAGAAAATTAGGAAAATATATGTGTAAGGAAAAAATTCAGTCTTACCACACAGAAAAAAATACAGGCAGTTCTGGCTTTGCATGGTTCTGAGATCAAACTGATTAGTACCTGTATTATTAACTTCACATTTTTTCTTCCAAATTAGTCTTTATATACATATTCTTTAAAAAAAAAACTGGGAAAAGGCAGAAAACTGTACTTCAACAATAAAAATTAAAACTGGAAATATTATATTGTATTTTAAGTTTTATATACTTGCTTTTTTTCAATTAAAAATCTCTTTTCCCAAGATGCTAAATATTCTTTAAGAATGTGATTTATAATGGCTACATGGTATAATTTTCCATAGAATGGAAAATCTAGTTTTCCATTCTATGGATTCACTGCAATAGAACATACCTTTCCACTGATTGTACACTGCATCCAATTTTTTGCTATTATAATGATACAGTGAATATAATAGGTAGTAAAATTTTATGCATGTCTCTAATTAGTTCCATAGGATAAATTCCTAGAAGTGAAATTACTGAGGGAAATGGTATGACCATCCTTAAGGCTCTTAATATATAGTCAGACCTCCATCTCACATAAAGTTCTTTTAAAAGAAATTGAACAGTGGCAGCTAAGGCAATCTTCTATGAACTCCGTAAAATAAATTACCCTTTCCTCACACATTCAGGTCTCACTGGAAGTTGAACAACTAATCCTCTTTCTACCATCCCACATTTCTAGATAGCTCTGAAAAAATAACAGGACCACTGTTCCTTTACTTTTAAAGATTACTCATAGACTTCCTAGATTTCCTCTAGTCTTTCTCTTGTCTTGAAGAGGAAGATTTTAAATTTCAAACAATTCTGAGACTACCTTTTCCATACAGACCTAAACCAGTGATTCTCAACCCTTTTCATCTCATGGCACACATAAACTAATTACTAAAATTCTGCGGCACACCAAAAAAACGTATTTTTGTCAATCTGACAAAAAAATAGGTATAATTTTGATTGAGTTATAAAAAATAAATAATACTAGTAATTACCTACCATTTTTGTTCCAAAGTGACTTTCTAAAAAATCAGGTGCCCATACTTATATATAAGGATTCTGGTACCAGGAATTAACCAATCAGATGCAACCTTATGCAATGTGACCAACAAGATGCAACTCTTTATTATATGACCTACATATTTACGGTTCAATATGGGGTATTCACACCAGATGGCTACTGTTGTGTTGGCTGTTGTTATTTATTTATTTGACAATCTAAGGGAAAAGAGGTCAGTGCCCTTGACTAAATAGGTACCACATGTTTTAAAAAGTCTTGTGGCACACCAGCTGAAAATCACTGATGTAAACTATGAGCACTTCTGGAGTTAAATGGACCTGGGTTTAATTCTAATCCTAGGCATTTTTACTAATTGTATGACATCAGGCTAGTCACGTAATCCTTTTAAATCTATTTCCTCATCTATAAAGAGGGATAACACTACTACTTACTTCTTATTCGAGAGGATTAGATAAGACAATAATGTAAAGTGTGAAGTACTTATTCTTAGCATATTGCTTAGTACAGTAAGTACTCAATACATATTAGACAATATTACAATTAGATTTTCTGAAGCCCTGTTTACATCTGAAATAACAGATTGGCTAATCTAGTTCTAGTGCTAACAGGAAGCATTAAGATGTCAAAATTTCCAAAATCTTCACAAGAAGAAATGAAGTGTTTTATATTTGGGTGAACACATTAAAAAAAGCCATGTAAACACATAAGAAAATGTTTTAAAAACAGTATTGCAAACATCTGTTTATAATGTCCTCTATAAATAATGAGAATATGCTATATATATCATTTGTATTACCCCAACCTAAATCTCTCTCCAGTGAGTCTCATATTTAAAGTTAAATTAAACTAATGATTACCTTCCTGAAATACACATAGATGATTTTATAAAACAAGTCTCCCTGGTGCCCAAATAGTAAACAAAAACAGATTAATAAAAGAGTCTGCTATAACCACTATTTCTTCACAACATAAACAGGTCCTTCAAGTTTTTAATGAGGACTGATCTATTTTACAGAATTTTCCTTTTTTCTTTAATACAAGGGAAACACAGTGATCACAAAAGATACCATCATATCTAGGACCTACACCCACATTGCTATAACAGGAGTTTTATTTAACAGTGAACAATAAGAATGATCAACAATATCATAAAGGGCTTTGGCTTGCTAATAATAAATTTAAATCAAAACAGAATTAAAAAAACAATGTGAAAATACTTTGTATCTGCTAGCCTATTGTTAGCCAGCTAATGAAAATTCCGCTTTAATATACACAAAAAGAAATAAATACAAACATAATCATAGAGAATTCTACTTCCAAAGGACTGCTCAGTCTTGGCCAGTTAAATATATCACAAATTTAAGACTTTAGTATACCAGCTGAAACTGACAGGCACGGAGGCATGGAGCACAAACGCAGAAATGAGCGCTTCCGTTTCTCTTGTGCAGTTACCAACAACCAGCATCATGAAACATAACCCCCATTTTTGTTTCTAGTAGTTATCAGGCGCCAAGGAATGCCTCAGAGTAAGAAAGGTGTCACTATCATAGAAGATTAGCGGGCCAGGAAAAGTAGCAATGTAGAAACCAAAAGCAGTCAACACTAATACATCCATAATCTGTGGTGATCTGTTCGGAAGATTATTCTAATTCCCAGATAGTTTCAGTAAAGACTACAGAGATACAATTTTATTAATACGTTGCATGCTTTAAAATAACACAGTATTCTCAATTTTCTGACACCACTTCTAGGAAAGCAGGGAAGAGGTAATAAAGCACATTAAATATATCTATCAATTTACATACACAAAGAAAAACAGTGCGTATATTAAGTGTCCAAAGAATCTCAAACTGTCTTTTAGTAAATCATTCTAATTTATAGTTCATGTCCAAGATACCTAAAACCAAAGAACAAAACTTTCTATGCACATAAGTTTGTACAAAGTTGGGGATTTCCTCCACCATTAGGCATATTCTATGTGGACATTTACATTACCCGGCTTTAGCAAAAAATTGGTCACCTCAAAACATATTTATTATGCTTACCTAACCAAGGTACCATGTTTTGTATAAAGTAAGCAAAATCAATAGCAATTTCTCAAAGCTTTTCCACAATTACTTAAAAGAGTCCAAGCCTTACACTCAAGACTTAGTACCTTGGAAATTTTAGTAGCTAACCTTGGTAGAGAAGTGAGTACAGAAAAATTATGATTTTATATTACACGCATCAAGTATACTGTTGGAAAGTTGCCTGCACAACTTCTACCACACCTGTAATTCAGTAGGTGCTCTGCAAAGAACAACTCATCTCTCTGCTTCCTAATCAGCTAGCTTGGTTTTTGGGGAAAGATCAAAGTTTCTGGGTGATAAAAATCAACATACTTAGAAACTGTTTATAATAGGATGCCTTACCAAAAGGAGGTAGTCCATACGTTTGGGTTGCCTGAGGGTAGACAGCATACGGTTGAGACTGCTGTAGTGTCTGGTACTGAGTCTGCCCAGGATAAGCAGTTTCCGAAGCAGGAACTGAGAGGATATGTGCATAAGGTCTAGAAAAGTTCAAGACAACAAAAACATGCACGGGTGATTTCAGTAATGAAAAACAGGAGAAATAACTAATACCATTAAATGCAAAAAATCAGCAATGAAGAAACTAACCTTCTACAAAATGTGTCTTACTGTGGTCAGAAAGTAAAGGTAGTATTTCCTTTCCAGGTTCTACTATAACCTACCTAAGAAATAATTTTATGAAAAATTCGTATTTTCAAATTTCCTCATAAGATCCAACTACTATGCTATCAACATCTGTGGTATGCTATGTGCATGGCCCTATGTGAGATACAAGGGTGGATTAAACTTGTTTATGCCCTTATTCTACATATAAAATAAAACCTAAAATAACAGAAAATTAGACAGAACAGGATTCACAACTGGCTCTCATTCCCCACTCAACCCTCTGGGCCAAACTAACAGTTTAAGAGGGAAAGCAGGGCTTGGGAAAGAGGGTGAGGCTGGTAGAGAAAAGGCAAGCAACTACATTAGAAAACAGGGAGTAGGAGTGGGCCCCAATATTGCCAGATCAAGTCTATAAAACAGGAGCCAGGTAACTAATAAAATCTGGGAAGTCCAGTTAAGACTCAGAATTCCTCCATGATATTTAAGCCAGAGTATAATTTTACTAGTTGCTGCCAATCACATCGGGTTTAACTAGGGATTTAAAGTCAGCAGTGAAACTTCTGGGAATTTAGACTAGCTAGATGACCTGGTCATTTCATTCATGTTATGCACTGAATTTTTAGATATAAGTTATATTATATGGTGAATTATGTTGTACTTATAATACAACAAAAAATGTTTTGTGTGCCATATAAGTAATAATTATTAAATAATGGAGGGAACGGGTGTTTCAGACGGCAAAAAGATTCCTTTCTAAAAGGTTTGGGGGGCAGGAAAATGGAGGAAGGCAATAAAGAAGTGATGTGTCAGCTGAGCATACAGGATGTACAGGAATAGGAGAGAAAGGGTATTCTAGGAAAACAAAAAAACTCTGGAAAAGGTACAGAGGGAGGAAAGCAAGGGCTTCGGCCTGCAAAAACTATAGATTATATTAAGGGAAGTACATAAAGGGAAGGGAAGTAGTGAGAGAGAAAAATGTAAGACCTTGAATATTAGACCAGCATAGTTCAGACAAATCAGGAACAAGTGGGAGTCACTGAAATTGCTGAGCAGACCAACAAGATCAGAGCTGCTCTTTAATACAGATTAGTCTGATGATGCTTTGTAAAATAGATTACGAGGGGAAAAACTGGAAATAGATGTCTAGGTAAAGCAGATCTGAATTAGGATACAAGGTACAGCTAATAAGGTATCCTGAACACGGCACATATGCAATTCTTTTCTGAATGAGTAAATGAATTTGCAATAGGCAAGATATTACCATCTCAGTGAATTCTGAGAGACTGAATTTGAAAACTCCTATTATTCTTAGCCAGATCTGAGACCAGGCAATAGCTCAGGTTGTAGTTGTTAATCAAATTGCAAGGGGAATTACTTAAAACTGTAGTGATTAATCTCCAAATATATCGACAATTGTATTCTTAATCATATAGTGTCTTTGTAGCTCAAAGTATTCTGTTATTGCCTTCATAATGATCTCAGAGAACAAGTTGAGCCATTTCACAAAAAAATCACATGAAAATAACTGGCCCAAGGATGCTATTAGTGTTAATGCCAGATTAGATTTTGGAAAACTCACTGAGTTAACTTCTTCATGAGGGTATTTTTTTTAAATTTATTTATTTATCTTTAGAAGGGAAGGGAAGGAGAGAAATATCAATGTATGGTTGCTTCTAGTGCATCCCCTGCTAGGAACTGGCCTGCAACGCAGGCATGTGCCCTGGCAGGGAATTGAACCTCGATCTTTTGGTTTGCAGGCCTGTGCTCAGTCCACTGAGCTACACCAGCCAGGGCATGAGGGTATTTTTTAATTGATGCAAAATCAAAGTACAAATGAGCACAAAAGGGGGAAGATGCCAATTTTCTCTCACAACAGCACCACAGGCATCACTCACCCCTATTACCAATTTCTAGTGTCCTGCATCACCCAGGCACATAAGAACGTATCCTAGTGTAATATGCAGACTTGTAGGTATTGGGTTGGCCCAAAAGTCTGCATGGTTTTTCTGTAAAATAAAGGACACATTTTTCATTTTCACCAATAACTTGATTTGGATATTTTGAGTATGTTGGCTATCTCCTGATATTGGCTTCTAGTGGGTAGAGGCCAGGGGTGCTGCTAAACATCTTCCAATGTGTAAGACAGCCTCACAGCAAAGAATTATTTGACTAAAATGTCAACAGTACCAAGAAACTTCACAAACTACTTTTGATATGTTCAGTCAGTCACAGCACCTTCTCCATACACTGCACAAATCTGTTTTTGCATTTCAGTTGCATTTTTACCTTCCTTGAAAAAACAAAGCACAAGATGCCGAAGATGATGTGTATTGTCTTACATATTCAATGTTAAAATAGCTGCACAGAAATTCACCAATTTTCATAAGTTTTTTGTAAATGCACACTGGTATGACAAGTGTCATAATACAATCTAACAAAATTGCTTTGAATGAAGTTAAAGACCATTAAGCACTACTAGAGCCATCAAATGGAAAAATGTAATAAAACGTTTTGACCAACCCAGGATTATGTACAGTATGTGTAGGCTCACTGTCATCAATGGTAGCTTGGCATATGCACCATTCTGCACCTATTCATCCTGGAGATGACAAACTTGGTCAATTTTAAATGCTGGTCTTAACCCCTCAATGGCTCAAAATGCCTCTTACTGACTTCAACTCACTAATAAACCTGACTAACCTCAAGTTTACTTCTACTTTGAGGACATTAAACAAGGAACTGAACAGAGATTAGGCTGAGAAGTCCTTCTTATTGATCTGTCAAGGTAAAGGAAGGAGAAAATGATCAGAGGTCAATCAGTAATATGCTCTGATTACTAAGAGCATCTTTCACTTTCAGTGCCTACTCAGTTAGAGCGGGTTTCTGGGTGACAGTGATCCATTCTGGGAAACCGTCTACTTTTTAAAAGGATCTTACAGACTCCATATTTGGAAGGAATAAAAAACTAAAGTGGGGACAGAGAGAACAAGAGAGGTGAAAATAAGTTAAATGTCAACTTAATAAATTAAATATCAAGTTAAATTTTGCAATGAACCTAGAGAAAAAGCATATGGATTTCGACACAATTATTCGACTTACTTTGCAGAATACATTTGTGAGGTATAGTCATTGGATGAGCGAGGGATGTAATCGGTGCACGTCATAACTGAAAAAGATATCACCAGGAGAAAAGTCAGAACATTTCAAAAATGAAATGAGAAAATTGCATATCTCACTGTACAGTCTTTCAAACTAAACTAGAGAATACAGCTTGGATAAAAATTTATAAAGACTATGTAATAGAAAATACCTCACTCTCCTAATAGCAGATTTGGAGACTTTTAGAAAGTAAAAGAAACTAGAATGTGAGGGGGATGGAAAAAAGCTGAAGGCTAATACCAGCCGATCTCTACCTTCACCCTTCACTGATTTAAAATCAAAGATGAAGCAACCTAAGTTCTCGGCTATGCTCATAGGCAAACTTAAGAAGCATGATCCGTATCTGGGAAACCACATTATACATCTTCAACTTACTCATTCTCTGGGTGCTTACTCTCTACTTTGGCCATGTGAATGACTTTCAGGAAGACAGATTTAGGGGGAAATATCTGATTTTATTAGAGAATTGTTGCTGCTGCTATGTACAATCAACAGCAGAAAGATATAAATATACTTCTGTACTATTTTTTTCAGTTCTGTGGTAAAAGCTTTAAGTTTGGCAAAGCAGAGACAGACCTGAGGAACTGATGAGATGCTCTGTTAAACTAGCAAGTAAAGAGACTTTCACAGCTCAACTATTTCTGGAATAGATGCTGTGAAGGCTTGACCCTCACTATTTCATCTCAGATAAATGCTGTAAATATTCAAGTCTGACAGACAGCAAAACCCTATTCATTAGGCACTGTTTCAGCCTATACTGTAGACTGAGTTATGTCACAGAGCTTATACCAGACTACTGAACTGCTGGAGAACTTCCTTCAACATCTAAAAAAGAACGCTCTATTATAAACAGGGACTAGGAGTGAACCATTTAAATTTATGTCTGGCTGGGTTCCCTCAGTATCTTACCCAAAAAGGGAACTCTGGTCAAGAGCAGATGAGGAGAATAATCATGCCCAACAGTGAGGCAAGTTTATCATATCAGATCTTATCCATTGCCATTTTTCAAGGTCTAACAATAAAGACTGGAAATTTGGAGGTCGTCTTCATCCATAATCATTTTAACAGAATTGAAATAAATCTCAATTAAATCTAAAGTCCTTACTGTCAATCACAAAGAATGTAAATCCATTTGAATTCTACATGATGATTCCTTCTCTGCCAACAAGCACTTTCAAAAACCCAAACCCTTTTTCTCCTCTGATTTAAGTTAATTCTAAAAGAGATTAATAAAATATCCTAGGAGACTTAGGCCAATTTTTACTTTTCTAGAAATGCATGAGTCTGGATCTTTGCACTACTTGGGTACTATAAAAGGATTATCGAGAGTCAAGGCCTAGCTGTGGCTGCTGTGGCTCAGTGGATTGAGTGCTGGCCTTTGAACCAAAAGATTGCCAGTTTGATTCCCTCACCTGAACAACCTCACCTGGTTTATAGAAATACTGCTTCTGTTATGCACAGAACATAGTACTTACTTTCCTCTGACATGGTAAGGTTTGAAGCAAGGCTTGAAGTTTCAGGTTTCTGATCATTGACTTCGGGGTTGCTTACTTGACTGGGAGAACCAGAATGAATAAATTAGCCCCTGATTGATGTGCTGCATTGCTAAAATTAAATTAAATTTAATAAATCAACCCACTTCTTCCAAGGCTATACAAGAAAAGAGCAAAGTAAGTCTTCATGATATCCTTATTCTTGGTTTTTAGCAACTACCTGAAGAGCTATGACCAGGGTTAGTACGCACAGCATTCTATACATCCTTCTCATATCCCCAGACCCCTACAGTTTTTGTATCAGAGAAATTCCAGCTAAGTCACAAGCAAGTCAGATTTTCTCTCAAGACAATGTGGTAAAAGAAAAATTCCACAATACCTAAAAATGCTTTAAGACAATGGTTCTCAAAATAACTTGAGATGTTTTTTCAAGTTATACATGCTTGCTGCCAGGGATTCTGAACCTTAAAATGGCTTTCTCTTCTCTCCCAATTAAAAATAAATAAATTTTAATTTGTTAGTATACCCACAAATGAGCAACATCTTTTGTTGTTGTTTAACTTATAAGGAAAAGTAAAATAAATTGCAAAAGACAAATCATGTAAACTGAGAGGACAAGTCATGGTGTTAGACACTTTGATGTCAAGGGGATTCTCACTGAAATTCGAAAGGAGATGGTACCAACTGTCATTACTTGCAATGTCCTTCCTCTTCCTTCTACCCTACTTTCCACTCTCCAATTATTCCCTCAACTACCAGTGTAGCATAATCTTTAGAAGTACAGATTCTAAGCCCGGACTGCTTGAGCTTATATTCTGTTCTGCGAAATCCAGCTTTGTGACTCTAGGCAAGTCACTGATCTTCTTTGTGACCTAGTTCTTCGACTGTCAAGGAGAGGTAATAATAGAATCTACCTCACAGAGTTGTTATAGAGATTAATGAGTTAATATATAAAAAGTACTTAGAGCAGAGAGGAAAACAGAATAAGTACAATATAACTATAGCTAGTATTGTTATATTACAACCTCTCCCCAGTCCAGGCACCCTTCCTATACTCATGTTCCCTAGAAAGAAATCTACTTTGCTGTTCTCCACTCTAGGGCGAAATGGAGGGCACTGTACCAGAGGCTCCATATGGCTGGAAAGATGACACGAAGACTAGTTTCTACATAGAGGATTTTTTTTTAAGAAATCTTATTTACATTTAAAAAATACACAGCACCAAAATGCTTAAAGCTCTCATATCTTTTCTGAACAAACTTCTAATATTGGAGCATAATATCAATAAAGTTTTTTCCTCTGGCATATTCTGAATGCTCAATTTTTCCTCAGTTGAGAGAAAGGGAAGAAGGGAAGAAAGACAATTTTAGAGATCTGGAAATAAAACATACCAGGAAAGGTGGATGGGCTACCAAGAATGTGTAAGTGCCTGCTTGAAATGTAACCGTGACTGAAAACGGAGACTGGTCAGCACGGTGCTGTTTCCTCTCAATGCTCAGTGATCAGAAATACAGACATAAGAGGTAGAGAGTTGCATTTAACAAAGGTTGTGGTTTTGCCAGGGAAGTATGACACGGAGGAAAAGGGGAGGCAGTTAAGGCTACCTGCAAGGTAGACCGAAGTAACAGATCTTATAATTTAAGCAGCATAAAAAAGATATTAAAGTCTTTGTTGAGAAAAGGGTCAATGGTTGATAGTGAAAATATGATATGTCGTTTAATTGCAAGTATACAGTAAAACATATGGGAAGTGTGGCAGTAGAATAAATGAGGCCGGATATAATGTATGGTAGTAAAAGAGTAGGATTCTTGAAACTGCACAGAGGTGATACAATTCCTGGTTCATGTGGTTGGTGAACAAACAACAGGAGATAAGAACCATGGGAAACTAAAACCCACAGTGTTGCTGAAGCCAGAGCATGAGGTGCACAGAAGCTGCCCCTTTTCTATAAGGGAAGTGGAGCTAATGACCGAGGCATCCCTTACCTATTTGGTAATTAATGTCTAGTCCCTTGCACTTCCCTTACTTCTGCTTATTCTTCCGTTTCGTACTCTCTACATCTGACTAAAGGACATTCACCCCTGTGTCTCCTCCATATATCACAGGCTCTGACAGATAACATGAGTTTGGTACATGCTGTGGAATAAATCATGAATACACAAAAATAAATAAATCAGCACTTATGTTTTGCAAGAACAAACTTTTGGAGGGAATTTTTATTTTAAACCAAATAATTTCAAAATGTAAAGATTGATGTTAAAAACCACAAAGAGGGTAGTCAACGTAAACCGTGCCATCATCAGCATGTGAAAAAAATTATAAGTAAATCATTAAAAGGAAATTCAACTTTATATACCTTAAAGTTTGCTCTCCCGATTCCTGCATCTTGGCTTTTTTAACCTGCAAAAATAAATACACAGAGAATAATGTAGTGATCTGTTTCTTACATCATCTAGCTACTCAATGTTGGGCTAACATTAACTAATAAATTTCAGGATAACTGTCTTGTCTTGCTTAGATTTATTTAATTAACCCTTATTATATTTTTGAGTTAGAGATAAACTGTTTATCAGATGGACATTTGTTTTAATTTTAAAGAAAAAATGTTTATCAGATTCAAGGTAAAATATTTATCAGGGTTGTTATAAGGATGAAATATCTAAACTTGAATACAAACTAATTTTACCAGACATACAATTTTAACAGATATACAATATAATTAAATCATCAAACAGCAAATATGGAACTCTTGATGTCATCCATTCAAAATTTATTTACCAGAAATGTCTTTATACTTAAATTTCCTACACATAAAAAAATGAAGATAAATTCATATTAGGTTACCATTAATTTAAAAATATTCTTCACACTATTCTGTTTTTCCCCCAAATTTTTATCTTTCCTAATTCCTTCTGAGGTCAAAACATTTACATTAAAACAATTTAATCCACAAATGAAGAAAAACAATGTTTAACACTGCTAATGGATTTCTCAGCTTTCATGTTACAAAATAATCTGATAGAGCTCTCTAGCTAGAATAACTAGTTATAATAAAGGCATGTTTAATATGCTTGGCCATACAAATTATGAATACATACAAGTATTTCAGGCTAACACTAGGCAACAATGCTGCTAAATTATTTAAATTTAACATTTCATATAGTATGCGCCTTAATATGGGCAATTGTAGGTCCCCCTGTAAGACAGGGATACAGAGCATGTGCTACCTTGGCATTAGAGGCAGGTAAATGAACTCAAAGGATACACACATACTCGTATTTCACTAGATTACAAACACATAGTCCAGAAACAGAGAGAATGTAAAACAGTGTGGCTACTAGTAGTTCCTCAAGACAATGTAAATACTAAAAGCAAAATAAATACAAGGCTCATAAAATTTTTCAAGGACATCTATTTCTCATAAGATAATACAATAATTACAACCAAACATTTTTGGTTCCTTGACTATGGTATCTCAACAGATGTTACATTTAATGTTGTTTTAAGCTTTTTAGGTACCAACAAATATAAAATAAAGAAAAAGAGGATTAAGAAACCCTCTAATTTTAAAAACAAAATTACAGAAGAAAAAAACAAAACCACTTGAGGTAAATAAATCTTTACTAAATATGATATTGAATTCAAAAGTCATAAAGGAGAAAATATACTGATTATATAAAAATTCCAAACTTCCATATGATAAAAAAATACCTTAAACCAACCAGGCAGTCAAGGGACCCCAGGCTGACACACAGACTGTGACAAAAGAATTTAACAAACATACAATGTGACTTCACTGAAAGGGGTAGGATAAAAATGAGCTGACTTTTAAAATATATATATTTTTTATTGGTTATGCTATTACAGTTGTCCCAATTTTTTTCTCTCCTTTATTTCCCTCCTCCTGGTATCCTCCCCTCCCACCAGCACTCTCCCCAACCTTAGTTCACGTCCATGGGTCGTACATATAGGTTCTTTGGCTTCTCCATTTCCCATACTATTCTTAACCGCCCCATCTATTTCGTACCTATAATTTATTGCCTTTTGTTCCCAATACCTTTTCCCCATCCTCCCCACCCCCTCCCCAACAGCCCTAAAAAAAAAAAAAAAAAAAAAAAGACTTTATTTATTTATTTATAGAGAAAGGGGAAAGGAGGGAGAGAGAGAAACATCAATGTGTGAGAGATACATGGATTGGTTGCCTCTTGTACAGCCCCAAATGGGGACCTGGCCCTCAACCAGGCATGTGCTCTGACTGGGAATCAAACCTACAACCTTTCAGTTCACAGGCTGGCACTCAATCCACTTAGTCACACCAGCCAGGGCTGAGCTGACTTAATAAGGTTGGAAAATGGAAACTGCAAGGCTAAAGAGAAGAAAAATTAAACTATCTGCCCTCCATAATTTCACAAATGAAAAAATGCAGGCTTGTGTTATAAAATGTGCTACCTTTCCCTCTTGAAGATGACAGTATTTACATGTCAGATAATAATGTAATTTTCCAATAATGGGGATGAATTTATGCTTGGCTCACCCAAAGACCCTCTTCATGATCAAAGAAATGTAATTTCTGAGCTGGTGGTTTAGTAACCAAAATAGTCTCTAGTCTTTAAACAGTAATCCACACAAAGAAAACTCGAGATTGAAGAATCTATTTTACGTTGGCCTGAATTTTAGGAGAACCACAGAGCACTCTAGCTAATCAACTAAAAAAAAAAAAGTCTCACCCTGGCTGGTGTAGCTCAGTGGATTGAGTGCGGGCCTGCGAACCAGACAATCGTGGTTCAATTCCCAGTCAGGGCACTTACCGGGTTGCAGGCCGGTTCCCTGCAGGCCAGTTCCTAGCCCTAGCAAGGGATGCACGAAGGCAACCATACATTGATGTTTCTCTCCCTCTCTCCTTCCCTTCCCCTCTACAGATAAATAAATAAAATCTTTAAAAAAAAAAAAAAGTCTCTCTTGGAGCAGAATTTTAAAACATACTATAAAGGCCTTTCAAGCAAAAACCATTCCTTTTCACTTCTTTATTACAGTGCCAACTCAGTATTATAAAAAATACCCAGAAACAGAAAAGAAGAAAATATACCTGAAGTCCTACCAAACAAAAAGAGTGGGAGAGGATAATGTTTTATCAGCTAATTTTTTACTTTTCTTTTTTTTTAAGATTTTATTTCTTTATTTTTAGAGAGAGGGAAAGGAAGGGAGAAAGAGAGGGAGAGAAACATCAATATGTGGTTGCCTCTCAAGCGCCCCCTACTGGGGACATGGCCTGCAACCCAGCATGTGCCCTGACTGGGAATTGAACTGGTAACCCTTTGGTTTGCAGGCTGGCACTCAATCCACTGAGCCACACCAGCCAGGGCTAATTTTTTACCTTTCATAGCCCCTTGCCTGTCTTGATTTGGGTAATCATGTCCCTGTGCAAATCAGGGATAGAAAGCATGTACTACCTTGGCACCAGAGGCAGTTAAACTAATTCAAAGGATACAGACACATTTCACTGGATTACAAAAGTACAGGTTCAAACAATATAATCCAGAAAATGACAGAATGTAAAATAGTACAGCTACTTTAGTACTAGTTCCTCAAAAGGTTAAACAGAGTTACCATATAATCCAGAAATTCCATTCCTAGCTCTATAACCAAGAGAAATGAAAACATATGCCCACACAAAAACATGAGTGCACGTGAATGTTTGTAAAAGCACTACTCAAAACAGCCAAAGAGTGAAAACAACCCCAGTATCTATGAACAGATGAATGGGTAAATAAAAATAATAATAAACAAAATGAGTTTTGAATATTGAGTCTGATATATATATTCTAAATTATTTTTCCTCTGCATATAATGTTCTTTCAAAACCTGAGTTTAGAGAGCACCCCTGATAGCCACAAAGGAGTTTTTTAAGTGCTTCCGGTTTGCTGGAAATAGTCTTGGATTATACCTCTTATCCCAAATTGAGTCTGGTCAGTGCCCCCTTTCACTCTTTGAAAGAGTTCCTGTTTGGACAATAATACGAGCTGCTTTAGAGTAGTTTAAAAAAAATGTGAAAACTGGGCGAAAAACACTGGCGCAGGTAAATAGTGAAGACAGAGAAAAAAACATATCTGCAGAAAATGGAGGACTGGCAATAAAGGAAAGTGAAAAATAAAACCTTTTGGCTAGGATTTATGTTGCATTATTTACAAGGACCTGAACAAATCTTAAATCTTAAAACAGAGCAAGTAAGAAATAGAGAAACAAAAGTGGGGTAATCCAGTAAGAAAAAGGCAAGAGATCCCCAACATCTCTCTCTACATACAGGTAAACAGTAGGGTTAAAAATCTTAGCTTTATTATCATCAACTTAGTATAGGAGCATTCTTTCCACTCAAATTTTCAACTCTCCTATTTATTTTTAACAGTATGTGTTCTTTGTTTTGGGGGAACAAAGAACTTATTTAGCATCCATTAATCAGAGAGCTAAAAATTGTTTGTATCTCCTCTGAGCCCATACTCTGAACTACACCTTCCTTATCTATAACTCATACACACCAGATCAGTATGTCCCTTGATCTAAATCAACTCAGAGCCAGATGGATACCAGATAATTCGAGACAGCCCCTATACACCAAAGTCCCTGGAATTATTCAAGCTAGCCAATCCTAAACTGTTTACCCTGCTTTGTCTTGCATCGCCATGCTTGCAGAAACCCCAATAAAAGTAGCCCAATCTATGTATTTCCCTATCTCCTTTCTGCCTCCTAATCAAAACTGGTGCTTCCCTCTCAGCCCAGTCTCCCCAGGGGCCCTGTGTGGCATGCCATGCCTCTAGTTTCTAAGAGAACTGTAACTAACATTAAATGTTTCCTTCAAATGGCACTGAACTCTCAGTGTAGTTCCTCAATCACCTCTATAAATTAAGACCCAGGCACAAATCAATAAGAAAATGATGCCCCAAGACAATCACCATTTACAGTCAGCAGAAAATTTGTTTTTAAAGTGCTTTAATTGCTTACCTTCTTCTGAAGTAAAATCAGGCTTTATAAGTTATGTTATAGAAAGTGAGTAAAAATGGCAAGGAAATGAAGCGGAGCAGAAAAGATGACCCACCAGCAGGCCAGCCTCACGATTCTCATTACCTTAAATAGGCAAGGAGTAACTAACAATAATACTCATTTCAACAACTTATGTAAGTCTTTTGAAACTACAATTAGACCTTTTACTACATTAAAAACTCAATAATGTAATTTTCCTTGGCACATTTAGTGCCTCTAATTCAGCTATTTGTCCGTATAGCATATAGCACTGCTGAGGATGATTTTCAACCCTACAATTCCCTGATTATTGTCTTACTAGGGCTAGGGAATGACATTTCAAATGTTTCAAAAGGTTGTTTTACCAATTGCTCATGTCTTCCTAGTTTTATGCTTAAGTGAGAGGCCTAAAAAAAATAATGGCAAAGTACCATATTTTGCCATGTATAATGTGCACTTCTTTGCCTAAATTTTTGAGGGAAAAATAAAGATGTGCATTATACATGGGTATAATGATTACTTGGGTATAACAATCTCGTGTATAATGTGCACAAAACCGTGGGTATGTGTTATACCGGGGAGCATGTTACATGCAGCAATATATGCTAATCATCAGTATACATTTCTCAATGTATGGAAAAATATTAAAAACTTACTAAAGGACTTTAATATAATATTTAAATGAAAGCTGGTATCTATGGAATGGAAGCTTCTATAATGTAAATAATACATCTAGTACATAAAAATCATACCCTAGCACCTGCTTTCAAAATTTAAATTTTTCTAAGTTGGATTTTCCTAAAGAAAGGTAAACATGTACTACTCTATTCTCTTCTACTATGAAATCCAAGAGGCTCACTCAGGATGCAAACTGAATCAGTATTTATCTGACTCCAAAAAAAGAAACTCAAGACAAAAAGGAAAAGATTCTTTAACATAAAAGTATCTTAAGCCCTGGCTGGTGTAGCTCCGTGGATTGAGCGCGGGCCTGCGAAGTAGACGAAGTAGACGATCGCAGTTTGGTTCCCAGTCAGGGCACATGCCTGGGTTGCAGGCCACTTCCCAGCAGGGGCCAGTCCCCAGCAGGGGATGAACCAAAAAAGCAACCATACATTGATGTTTCTCTCCTTCTCTCCCCCTCTAAAAACAAATGAATAAAATCTTAAGAAAAAAAGTATCTTAAGAGAATGATTATTATTGCTTTCCTTTTTAAATGCTAAGGTTCCAAAAATAGACCAAAAAAAAACCCAAGAAGTAATGCAAGGTAATAAATCCATATCACTTGTGGACATTTAAAATTATTTTATTTATTTATACTAAGTATTTAAAAAGAAATCAGGAATTTAATCTAGTCTCTAGGATGTTATCTTTTTAAGAATTAGCTAGTGGTCAGATTATACTGTCTTCAACTACTACAAGTTAGATTGGTAAGGGAAATTTAGGTCAAGATAAAACTAAATGTCCTGTCAGAAGTGGTATATACTATTTGGTAAATAGATGTCCTCTTTTATTTTCTAAAAACTTTAAGAATAGCCATTGGTTTTTTTGTTCTTTCTTTTTTTCCTGGTCTGTCCCACATTTGACTGATACCCACGGCACACTCTGCTGTCTCGCCCACAGCACCGGCCAGCTGCTCTGCCCTTCCCTGTGACCTCCCCAGGCCACAGATCAGACCCAGCAAATGCTCTAAAAGGAAATATCCACTGATTTTTTAATGACTTTTCCAAATACAATATTAACTTTGTAATGCTGAATTTTCAAAGCAGACTCTTTGGCATTGTTAGCAAAATGTGCATTTGAGAACAAAAAATTATTTTCTTAGAAGGAAAGTACTAAGGAGTCTTTACCTTATTTTTATTTCTCATTTAGAATCTGCAGTATAACTAATATTTAGAATCTCTTAAAATTAACTTTTCTACAATCAACTTTAAATTGTTAAAGGAAATACTTACTGGTTGTTCTGGTAAATCTTGCTCTTCCTCCATGAGGACTAATATTTCTTTATTACACTTATGTGACTGGATCCCAAGTGTCTCTCAGCAGTCTTCACAGTCTGCTTAAAAAAGAGGGGGGATTCAAAGTTTTATGTACCTTAAAGCATTATCATTCAGGCCATCAGCAAATTATTTTTTAAATATTTTGCTACCCTAAGCTTTCCACGTGAGTTCCAATCTCAAAATCTCAAACCTGCACGTGGCTTTTCAAAATTGACATGCTGCACTAAGTCAAAATAGGTGTACACAATGGTGTTCATAATACCCTGCAAAAGCCAACACGTGGAACCACCTCTGCTGTACTTAAAACATGGTTACTCTAGTGCTTATTACGTTAAATATTTTACAATGACAGCCACGTGCTGATAACTAGAACAATTTTTTGAAGAGTAGAGTTACATTTTTTAATGATAAAAACTAGCCTAGCAAGTCAGTAAGTTACGATAACATCTAACCTGCTTTACTGTGGAACATTTACATAACTGTTAACACAGACACACAGAATCACTTTAAACAAATTGGAATATCAATTAAATACTTTGTCTACAACTATCTATATATATAATGAATTTCGAGGAAAATTCAATTCTCTGGATCTACTTTAATAATGCAAATAAATAAGTAAAACTGAATTTTAGAATTAAGGAAAAATAATCATGTAAAGCTGGAGCCCAATTTTAGTCTGAAATAATGAGCTCCTCTAAATATATTGCCTACCCAATTATTTCAGGAAAATCTTTACCTTCTTAGATCCTGCTCTTCCTGTCTTGATTTTCAAACTAACAACAACAAAAAATAATAATAGGACTCTAAGTCCCACATTTACCAAGTGTTCTGGTAAGAACACCTTATTGTGTCTGACATTTTCTACAGACATTAGAAAACTTAAACACATTATAAAAAAAGAAAAACTTCATGACTATTTAACAAAATGAAACTAGCCCTTCTCCAAAACAGATGTGATCGCTTATGCTTTTAATCAAGGTCACACCTGTTTTCACTTCTACCAACCACTGTAACCAACTTAGTATATAAAGCTAAAGCAAGTAAAGACTCTTATTGCAGAAGTAATAAAAATAGATAAACATGAAAAGAAAAAGAAAAAACTTCAGTTATACCAAGATACCACCACTTCTATTGCTCTATCTTGGTGCAACACACTTTCAGCGCTGCACTCCAGATGGGAAAACATGTGTTAAGGGAGACAGATTCAGAAATGTCCAACTCTGACACAGCTTTACTCCCTGCTCTGATCTAGAATGTCAAAAGAAAAAGAAGTTTAAAGGTCAGAAGCAATGGATACTTAATGAACTCACGTGTAGCTCATACACGGAGCCTCAAATCTAAGTTGTCATTACTACCTGACGTAGGTAACTAGCGCTGCAGAATTACGCAGTTACTAAAGCTCACAGGCACTATCTTCCCTGCACTTGTTTTGCTCTACCCAGAACAGCATAATCAATGTGATATGAAACTGACTCACAATTATGGAAGATGAAACATTTTTGTTTCACCAACTTATATCTAACTTTTAAATTGAAATGTTTTTTCTTTACTTCATGGAATTTTAATACTGCCTAAATGAACATAATGTACACCTATAATTTCATCCTGTAAGAACGAGCAAAACCAGAGCCAAATCATCAAGAAATTGTAATGGCTTTAACACCTCATTTGTTCAATTTTTGTATAACCAGCTCTCATCTGAACAAAAAGTGATAATATCCCATGTTTTACTTAATTGAAGGCCATAACTATACAATAGCTGCAATCTTTCTTTGGTAGATTGTCGGCAAGGAAGGAGGAGGGGTATTCCTTCTCATAGGGAACGGGTTATAAAATCTACCTCTGGGCAAGAGGAAAGTTAGAAAAATTTTGTTCTTTAAAAAAGGATACTCAAAAACATGACTTTAATTTTGTTTTTAAGCACAGAAACTAACTTATTTTAAAAATATGAACATTAAAGGAGAACACATTTTAATTAATCAAAAGGGGTTATGGGTTTTACAAGGCAAGAACTACTTCTCTTCATAGTGGGGAAATAAATTTTTGAAGCTATATAAAATGAAATGTTAAAATCCTGAATTTTGCTTTTTAGAAATATGGTATATTATAGTAATTTTTATAATGGAAATGGACTAATTTTCTGTTTTTCTTGAGACAAATTCTATGGTTAAGTAGCAATAAAACCTTCTTTAAGAGAACAATTAGAAGATATTCCTTTCTACCTCTCCCATTGCTTCTATGCAAATAAGCCTCCTTTGTTGTTTCTGTCTTTAAAAATTACCTTTATTTTCTCACCTTTTAAATTTAGGGGAATAAGAAGGGCATAGATAATTTCTATAGTTAGTAAAAAACTTTTAAAAACAGCAACAAAAAAGCAATCTACAAGCAAAGCATATGATTTATTACAGAATCTTCTGGGATTCCACTTGCTATCTGTGGTATGTGTGAAGTATGCACACACACTCTGGTACATCTGTATATAAAATATAGTAATAATGACATAAAGCACGTAATTCCATCACAATATTCATCTAAGATACTTCCCATCAATATAATATTTGTCACTTCCAAAAAATTATGTTAAAAGACCTGAAACACAAGAACATACTAAATACAAAAGCACAAGTCTTTACCATATTTCTAGCATGTATCAATACATTACTTTTTTTTTTAAATAGGTATACAGGTGACCTTGCTATCATGAAAGTGTGAAGAGTGAAGAAATTCCACATTGAATTTAAAAAACAACTAAAATTTGGGGGAAGAGGGTACAGAAATTTGCCTAGTTACTTGAACATCAGATATTAAATATTTGTTGACTCAGGTGCTACAACTTTTAATATTAAGATCTCAAACCATTTTCTACAGTGACATGTGCTTACAATCAAAAGTCAGGTTTACGAGCCACCAGATGAAGTGTTATGTAACACAGGCACAGTGACAGAGTACTTGATAATAACAAAAAGTACGGAATTAAAATACAAACCTTAGTATTCTCATTTCCATGTATTAGCTTTACAGTTTAATCTAATTGTAGTTTTCAGTTTGTTTTTTTTTCCCCACCATTAAGGTAACCTGACATTATTCTACATTCAATGAGATTCACCTTTTAAATATCCAACATATAATGGTTTGACATAGATGTGGAAAGTGGATTCTTAACGTAAATTAGTATAATTACAACTTAGCCAACAGCCAATGAAATTACTAAAGTCTCTGAATTCATTTTTTGTTTTTAGCACATATAAAGCACTTGGATAAGTAATGTCTTTTAATAATTTTCTAGTTTCAGTTTTTACAACTGGTTTCTAAATACAGCTGTTTTATCCCCCTTCTTTGGTGTTTGTTAGTATATGTCCTCATAGACAGAAATCTGGAAAAAAATCTACAACTGAGAACAAAATAGTACTACCCTACCTGCAAATGCTGAGAATAAGAAAATGCAGAACGTTGGTTTGAGTCAAAGAGATTGCACACTTTTAAATACTGTGACTTCACATGCTCATAAATAAAAGACCTTTTTGTAATATGGCAGCCACAATTTTTTATCCTTACAAATTCGAAGGCAAATAATTAGTAACAAATATTTTATTTCAAATTTCTAACAATTCCAACTTCATAATTTGTTTTGTATCAAGTTCAACACATTATTTACCCTATAGTTGTAAATGCCAGAAGCAAGAACTTAGGTTACTTCAATATGTAATTATAGCTCTTAAATATTGAAAAGGAAATTTAAAATTATATATATAAATATTTAAAAGCACAGTACAAGGTCAGTTTTTTTTTCAGTGAAAACAAAGTGTATATCACTCTTAATTACAGCATCAAGAGAAATGTTTAAATAGAGCAAAACAGCCTGACGATAGGTACTAAAAGGGGAACTTGCATGCAGCTAAATGTGCGCAGAATTATTCAGGAGTTACTGAGTACCTTTGATAGAGTACTAAACAGAAAACAAGTAGCTCATAAAATTAAATGGAAGCTGGTATCTATGGAATGGAAGCTTCTATAATGTAAATAATGCATCTAGTACATAAAAATCATACTCTAGTACCTGCTTTCAAAATTTAAATTTTTCTAAGTTGGATTTTCCTAAAGAAAGGTAAACATGTATCACTCTATTCTCTTCTACTATGAAATCCAAGAGGCTCACTCAGGATGCAAACTGAATCAGTACTTACCTGACTCCAAAAAAAGAAACTCAAGACAAAAAGGAAAAGATTCTTTAACATAAAAGTATCTTAAGAGAATGATTATTAAATTAATTAACTACACTGTATTTTAGAAGTCTATTTACTACCCCTTTCAGAACCTGATATATAAATTTTCAGAGCACACCAAAGAAAATACTACAGAAGTTTCCCTGGAGAAAGTTAACAGCATCTTTCCCAAACGTAATTATATCTCATATAAGTTATAAATAATAATGACCTAAAGAACTACAAAAAAGTGGTCTATAACCACTTAAGGTTTTTATTAATATGTGGGTTACTTCCGTATTTAAAAGAAATAATTAGCAAATGTTTAGCAAGGTGGCTTCAAATATAATTATTTGTATGTCTTGAATGAAAACAAAAAGCAAAATTACCCTATTCAAATGGCGTTAAGACGACTGCCTCAAGTATTGTTATTCAACAATAACTCATCTATTCTAAAGGGAATCTACAAAGGAATTCAGAAACAAGTGTCTTAACACCCAAAATACCAAACACACAGCCTAAAGGCATCTCTTCAAAATAAATTCTAATTTATAAACTAGGAGGCTTTAAGGCAAAATCAGGAAAATGGTTTCAAAACTAATTTTTGTGGTCTCTTGCAAAACGGTGCTTATTAGCAGCATATGTTGGTGAAGATGATACTAATTAGTAATTTGGGCTTCGTAATCTACAGAACATACATATTAGCTTTCAAATAAGTACAAAAGTTTATTCTAATACCTACAAACTTCTTACTGAAAATTAGGCAAAAATAACAATATCCTGGAGGAGAGGAGAACAAATAGAGGCAATTGGGGATATCTTCCCTACGCCAGTCTTTAAAACCAATTACAATGGGAAGGATAGAGCGAGATCATTGATCAAGCATTTATAATACACCAAGTATTTTTACATTTGTTTCTTACCTAATTTTATCTCCACAACTCTCCTAAGACACAGGAAGCATCACCCTCATTCTATGGACAGGGCAACTGAGATTAAGAAATGAAAAAATTTGCCAGAGGACAACCGCAATCACATTCCAGGTTTAGTAGAAATGCATCAAGTAAAGAGACTACAGGCTACTGGTGACGGTTGCACAACCTTGTGAAAGTACTTAATGCCACTGAATACCATACTTGAAAAGTGGTTAAAATAATTTTTGTTAAGTATATTTTTCCACAATAAAAAAAAGACCTATGAAACTAGAAATACCGAACAATGATCAAATCTAAAAAGTACTTATAAGTGGAGAAAAATCAATATTTTAAAAGTATTGTCAAAAAAAACAAATATCAATGTGGAGAAAAACATATCCACATCATACACTATGGTTAATTTTAAATATATGAATAACTAGAAGTATTAAAAAATAGTGGAAGAAATGGAATAACATTTATCTCATCTGTGGAATGAGATAAATTTCTGAGCAATAAAAATGTAAGCAGCTCATCAACAGATCCAGTCACACACGTAAAATATTTTCATGCAATGAAAAAAATAACAAATCTAAAATTAAAAGAGTAAAATAAATGTAAGCAATACCTTCAATAATTACAATAGATAAATTTTAATGTCTACAACATAAACCCAACCAATTCAACATTTACCGAACATCTGTTATTTGGCAAACAATGGCTAACATTCATCCATCAAAGGATGCAAGCAGTTTAAGATCAAATCAGCATTTGGGAAAAAAGATTCTCACTATTAAGTAAATTTTAATATTTTTAAGGTACTACTCCATACCTATTAAACTATCAAAAATAAATCTAAACAACAAAACCTAGTTATCTTAACTCAGGGCAGACAGGAAACAGGCACAACTTTAAAATCAAACTGTTCTCCGGTTAAAGAGTATAAAAGAGGTCATAAAATTGCCCGTGATCTAAAGAATTTTTGTTTTTTTCCCCTAACGTTAAATGGAGGGGTAAGAAGCTAACTCTATTTTAAAGAGAAAGTCTGTTCACAGAAATGAAAATGAGAAACCAACAAGTGGAGAATGGTTTACCAATGCTGTGATTCTACAATTGAACAGTCTATATTAAAATGAAAAATATACAGTGGATTGAGCTCGGGCCTGCGAACCAGAGGATCGTGGTTCGATTCCAGTCAGGGCACATGCCTGGGTTGCAGGCCAGTTCCCTGCAGGCTATTTCCCAGCAGGGAAAGCACTAGAGGCAACCATACATTGATGTTTCTCTCCCTCACTCCTTCCCCTCTAAAGATAAATAAATAAAATCTTTTTTTTTATTTTAATTTTATTTAGTTATTTTTCAAGTACAGTTTTTTGTCTATTTTTCCCATCCCAGCCTCCCCCGCCCCTTGCTCCCCACCTCCCTCCCATTTCCACCCCCCCCTTAGTTCTCGTCCCTGTGTCCTTCCTATTTGTTCCTCCAAAAATAAATAAAATCTTTAAAAAATAAAAATAAATAAAATGAAAAAATATAACCTATTTCAGTACAGGCTCACTTAAAATGTGAAAAAATAAGATTTTACATTAATTGTAGAAAAATAATAGCTTAAATATAATTTGTTAAAAATCAAAAGCAGATACAAAGGAATATTATGCTGGATGCTTAAGGTTTGTACAATAAAATGTTTAGGTACATTACTTTAAATCTTAAGTTTACAACAATACTACAGGCAGAAAGATTCATTTAATTTTCTTGCTGTCATCTCTTTCACAAGAAGTCAAGTTAGGCCCTGCACACAAACCCAGGGTTGCTTCATTTTATGATTCTGAGCAAAAGTGTTCAACTTCTAATAGTTCAAGAATTTGATATCAGAAGACATTTCATATTTGGTTTTACCCTTCTGGACAGAAACTATTCATTCTGTGAATGCAAGAAAATTAATAACATATGATGCTACAAGGAATAGAGTATTAAATTGTTAGAGGAAACCCTTTTTCAGGGTAAACTAAAATTAAAGGTGTGAAGGCACTGCTTCATGAAGTCTATAAGCTGCAGAACCAGCAGCAGAATCCAAGATTCTGAACTCCCTTGTCTTTTTTTCCCTTCAGAACTGAACATGCAACCTTCTCTTTTAAAACTGCATTCCTAGTATTACGTTAGGCTATTTATTCCTTTTCCTTCATTAATTCTGCAACTATTCTGTTACATGACTTTGACTTCATAGTATAATAGCACGTTTTTAAAGTTTTAAACTGTTTGAAATGTATATACTTAAAACTTTTTTAATGTGTTTACCTGGCACTCCAAGGATCTCCTAAAACTCTCAAATGAGATTATTTTTATGCTGTTTTTTAACTTCTGTACAGTCTAGCAAAAATAACAATTTGTGTTCTCTTTACGACTTCTAAGTCTTTTATTTACAACATACAGACTTGGATCTACAGTTAGTGAAACAGGTTAATTTTAATTGCAAGGTATATGAAAATAAGTTTTTACCATTTCCAGTCAGAGATAAGCATCATTTTAGAAAACAAAGTATCTCCCAACCTCCTAAAACATTGAAGTTATTAGTGAGAGACTTCCCTACTTCATTAGTTAATCATTAAGAAATCTTCAAAAGTCCTCCTCTGACCTCTAATGTGGTCTGTATATCATACAGCTAATCCTATTAAAACTGTTAGTTTTCCCTTGGTTATAAGATTCCTGTGGATTCTTGATCCTAATTCCACAATGGCAGAGACCACCTTCTTCTTTTTAGTATCTGATAGCATACAGTGGGCATTCAATATTCATTCAATCAAACACAATTTCCAGGCTCTTGATTTCTCTAAATATTCACCTAAACCAGTTCATTAAGAACCTTCAATATATTTAGAGGCACAAAAATTTTTAATCTTCAATTTTCCCATTTCTCATCAGGGATGCCTAAATCAGAACTTTAATTCTTTACTAGGTTTTGTTAACTAATTTGAAAATTATCATTTTAAAGTTTGTGTTAACTAGAAAGTTTCCTTCCAAAAAAAAAAAAAAGCAAGGAATAACTTTATTTCCAATTTTAATATCATATCTTCAGCAAGGGATCATAGCACAGGTACTACTTTCTTAGAGGTCAGGAGCTATTATTAGGTTTCCCTCCCCCCTTAATAGGCCAAAGCCGTTTTTTTTTAATTTTTAATTTTTTCAAATATAATTTCTATTCAGTATTATTTTGGATTAGAGTCAAGTGTATAGCACAATGGTTAACCACATACTTTACACAGTGTTCCCCTTGATATTTCCAGTACCCAACTGGCACCATACATGTTTACTATAACATTATTGACTACATATATTTCTTACACTATACAGGCCCATAATTATTTTGTTACTACCAATATGGAAGGCTAAAGTTTTAAATTAAAAAGAAAGGGAAGGAATGAAGGAAGGGAGGGAGGGACAGAGGATCTACATCCTAATTCCTAGAACCAGTGAATATTAACTTTATTTGGAAGAGTCTTGGCAGATGTAATTAAATTAAGGACTTTAAGATGAAATTATCCTTGGCAGGCCGTAAACACCATCTCATGTCCTTACAAGAGAAAGGCAGAGGTAAATTAACTCACACACACTGAGAAGGCAATATAAAGATGGAGGCAGAAATTGGAATGATATGGCTAAAGACAGCCAGCAGCCACCAGAAGCTGGAAGAGGCAAGAAACAGATTTTCCCCTTAAAGCCTAAGGAAGAAGTGCATGCAGCCTTACCAACACCTCAATTTCAGACTTCTGGCCTCCAGAACTGTAAGAGAATAAATTTCTATTGTTTCAAGCCTCCAAATCTGTGATAATTTATTATGGCACTCACGGAAAATTAATACAAATAGCAAAGAAGTTTATTTTATTTTTCATTCACTTTTGCTATTACCGCTCTGCTTGAGTTTGTTGGCCTTTTGGCCACTGAACGAAATACACAAGCTGAAGACAAAGGTGGGAAATGAAATACAAAAATAAAATAGAACATCATTAAACACATAGCTGCAAAAATGCCTCCAAACATTAAGAATAGGGTGAACATAGAACACTAAAAAACCTTCCAAGTAATTGGACAATTTGCCTAATAGGACTGTCACATAATTACAAAGTTAGCATTCTCTTGCTCTCATTCTCGGCCAAGCCCTAAATTTATAGTGGAAGAAATTCCCAGCTAACCTAGTAGTAACACTGGCAGTCCCAGGTGTTTCATGGATCTTGAGAAGCCTTACTGATCTAATGACTTGAGAACAAACTCAAGTACTGACAGTCCCTGACTTAATGATGGTTTGATTTATAACTTTTCAACTGTATGATGGCGCGAAAGCAATACATGTTCAATAGAAACCGTATTTTGAATTTTTAATTTTGATCTTCTTCCAGGCTGGTGATATGTGGTATAAAACCCTCATGATGCTGCAGGAGCTCCCAGTCAGGCACATGATCACAAGTGTAAAGAACCAACACTCCACCGTGCAGGGTGTTGCCAGCATTTGTGTTCTCAACTCGTTTAAGGCAAGCGATGATGTTTGGTAGGTTAGGTATATTAAATGCATTTTTGACTTATGGTATTTTTAACTTATAATGGGTTGATTAGGATAGAACTACTATAAGTTGAGGAGCACATGTAACTATTTTGTAAAACAGCATTTAAAAATCAGGATATAATCACTATACTGTTTGATGTGTTTTGGCTAGAAAAAAAATTACTGCTCGAGTTAAACCTGAAAGATACACAAGTCCACCCTTCCAGTGGATCTTAACTAAGAATAGTAGGCAAACTATGCTTCAAAATTGAAGCTCCTATTTTGTTCCATTTTGATTCAAGTTCCTGAGTTTGTATTTCTCTCATATAGTCATTTTTATATTAAGTATTATACTTCTCCATAAAAGCATTTACTGAACATTTCATTTTTAATTTTGTATTATAACACTGAGCTAAACACTGTATCAAGAACATTTTAAACAGATCATAGAACGATAACAGACAATCAGAAATTTTTGTTATCAGAAAAATGTGACTTTTCTAACTCAGCAAATGACTTTTTTCTCTGTTTCTTTCTTTGG